CACTTTGGGAGGACGTCCCAACGCGCTGGACAGAGAGAGTTTTAGACCCGAGCTGGGGGTCGGGTCGGGGAGGGTGGAGGGCAGGCGGGGAAGCAGGGAGATCAAAAGCACGGTCGAAGAGGAGGGTCTTGAAGGAGACAAGGGAGGGGACGAGGCAGAGGGACCTCGGGATGGAGTTCCAGAGAGGGGCAGAGTGGCAGAAAGTCTGCCCGCCAATCGTGGGGCGAGCGAGGTGGGGGACGTGAAGCAGGAGGGAGCGAGCAGGATGGTTAGGAGGTTGCAGAGGTAGGGGGGAGCAAGACCATGGAGGGCTTTGAAGGGGAGGATCAGGATCTTGAACTGTATCCTCTGTGTGATGGGAAATCAGTGGAGTCGGGCGAGTAAGTAAGTAAGTGCATCTCCTATTGATTCAACAAAGCAGTGCATCAGCTCATGTGCACAGGGGTTTCTGCAGGCTGGACAATCCTACTTTCTCAACTGGAAATGATAGATAGATAAACAGATAGATGTCAGGATAACTTAGGAATTGGGAAGTAATGTGAAAAAGTAGATGCTGAACTTATTGCTCAGTAACAGATCAAGTATTCGCCTGCTGATTTGCTGTATTTATTTTTTTAGTTATAGTCAATAAAGTATTGGGTGACTAAATCTATAGATATGAGCGCTACTCATTTAAATTACTGATCTTACTTTCTTCCCAAAGCACAACGTAACATCAGAGTATGTACAGTATATCTTATTACATGAGATATAAATAATGCATTGATAACTGATTCAATCCAAAATTGTGATATTCTACTTATTATTAACCCCAGACTGTTATCAATTCTCACCTTTAACTATATTGCTCCTTTACTTTCAGAACTGTACCATCCTAAATATGACGTTGGTCACTTGGACAACACAAGGACTCTTCTACTTACCGAATCAATCAGTCCTTGAATACACCAAACACATTGTTAGTCTTCCACTCTTTCGAAACCCGTGCTTTATTTGACAAAATCCTTGTTTTGTGGCCCAGCTTATGAAGCATCAGATGAAAGTGTGCTATTAATGAGAGTTGTCTCGTGCTTCAGAACACTGCGGCTGATCTCAGTGAAGTGCAAGGAATCTGACCCTGAAGCTCTGATTCTGTTGCACGTCAGCCCTCTACAGGAATGTGAGTCTGATAGATGAGAACAGCAGAGGGTCAGCTGATCCGTGTGCATGTGTCACTGAAATAGGTAACGCAGTAAACAGACTGTTTTGCAGATTTAGGAAAGCTGTTTCTCCCGTCCCAAAAAAATAATGAGGCTGGTTCCAGCGAGGTTCAGAGCTAGAAGTGGATTAAATTACTTAGAACTCAAGACTATTTGTAAACACATGATATCATAGTACTACTTTTATTGATCCAGTCAGTGCCTTATCAATTTGAAATGTCTCAACTTGTACCCCACAATAGGGTTTATCATATGCCAATCACTGACAATAGCAATCTTATTCTTACTTGCTTAAAAAGTGATTTACCACTATCATAAATGGATCACTATTTTTAACAATCGCTGTGTGAAAGATCCAAATGAGCCTGAATTGCAGTGACTGGAATTATGTAGGTAATAAAATAACAATAATCCTTGTATTTCATATAGAGCCTTATCACGTCTTCGAGACGTCTCGAATCGCTTCACAGAATATTCTGTAAAGTGAATTAACTCTTCTTGTCTTCCAGTATTTAAAAACTGTATGTTACATAACATTATAACAACCCAATTTCCAAAGTTCTTTGCTATGTTTTGAAATTCTCTTAAGATCAAAAAAAATCTTGCCTCATGACAACTTGGCACTAAAAACACCTTTCATACAGTTCAATGTGAGAATGCAACTATACTATATATAAACTTATATAAAATCTATATGACTATACTATATATAAAACTATAACAGAGTCATTGAGTTAGGAAAAAGGCTTTAACAGTGTGACTCAGAATGCAAGATATCAAGGAATAAAAAAAGTAATTCAGTGATTAAGTTGAATATTACAATTAAATGTAAACTAGTTGGATCCTTGTAGCTTTGTAGTCATTAAACCCTTTTGGTTAAATTTTAAAAAAAGCACCAAACACTGACATCTCAAACTCATTGTGTTACAATTTAACTTTCTGATGGGAATCTGACAATGTTATGTAACAGAAGGGTTCAGCACAAAATGGACTTGTCCATTTATTTACGATGCTGATGGTATTCTTGAATTTAAAGATTTTTTACTTTAAAGCTCTAATTGCAAAAGGCAGTGTGTGAAACATGTCCTTCACATTAAACTTCAGTGTTCTTATGGTATTTTACAAACTGGAACCACATATGTCTGGAAAGCACACTTTGTGTACATTTTTTCAGCACTGAGTACAAATAAACATGGGCTGGTGTATAGAAATAAACCACTATAACCACAATGTTATGACACTTAACTGACAAAACCTCTTGTGCTTCAGGCTGCTGGCTTTAACTTACAGTGCATAAGCACTGAACCAAAGCAACTCTAAACTGAACAGAAACAATCATTTTACAGAGGAAAACAGCTATGAAATAAACTATTTCTGCCTGAATGGCCACTGTAGTTTCTATCTCTTTGAGCAGCTACTCACCTTTATTTCATATCCTTCTTTAAGCACTTGAGCCTCAGCATGTTTTTTCTTATCCATAAGCCTTTACCAGTGATCACTGCTATGCTTGCAGTAGGCGAAGCAAACTATGAGCACACAGGAGCCTTATTGGACAGTAATATTATTATAATGTGGATTAAAGTGAGGCTAGACTTGTTCCTAGCATCATGTGTCATCAGGATAAAATGACCAGGCTCTAATGCTGGATTTTATTTTCAACACACTGATGGCTTGCTTTTACAAACATTACACCGCCTAAAGTATTATCATATTCGTGAAGAGGAAACTTGAAAGAAAGTTAAAGTATGATAAGTCGCAGTGTGCCAGTTGTATTCTGAAACTGTATTTAAATAAGTCTCTCCAATCAAAAAGATTCAAAAAACTGAATAGACTTGGCATCGGGAATTAGACCTGTAGATTTTGACTTTCTTAATCATCTGTGGGTCAATTAATAATTTGAGGTTTATATTTAATAATAATAATATTTCTAGCTCTTTGATGTATAGTATATTCCTTTTCACTGATATCTATTTTGAAAAGAGTTTTGTTTTTTTTGTATCAATTTCATCTGGATTACCAATAGAACAACAATAGCTTGCATTTATATAGCACCCTCCAAGCAGGATAGTGTCTCGGAACGCGTAGTGTGGGAATAATCATGCTCACAATCAAAAAATTGATGTAAACATTTTTGGGGGGTGAGGAAGAAGAACGGTAATGGATTAGAATACAATGGGTTGATGGGATAACACACAACCTTTAACTCAGAACACTCTCCATTAATGACTGACAAGCAGAATTGATTTTCCTCTTTTAAAAGTGTTTTCATTCAGTCTGAGACTCCAGGTTTATTGGCAGTGATGGAGAATTCTATCTGGTCTCACCAGCACAGGTTAAAGCCCTGTTTTTTTCAGAGGATACAGCTGAAAGGTTAGTGCAGTTGTGTTTCTGCACCCATTTTTTAAAAAAGCAATAAGAAATAAATAATATTAATGCTTGCATTTGATACAGCGCTTTCCATAGTGGGAGGATGTTTCAAGGCACTTCACAGCATTTACTGTGTAATCACTGTGTATTATGTAGGTGAACAGGAACAGCCTTTTCAATTATTCCAAGAATACTAACAATTAAAACCATATTTACTTCTATCTGTAACAGGTTGTGTGCACCAAGAATAGTGGGTTATATGAGAGAACAGATGTTTGATTTTTGAATGTGCAATAAATGCCTTGATTCAAAGAGTAAATGCAATAGATTTGTATTTTTTGATTCACGTATTATGGTGTAGTACTCAAGATCTTCACCAGATCCCCAAAGGGCTACATTATTGGAGCTTTGGATGCTCAGGATATTTGCAATCTCTCCCAAATCTCCCAAATGTTTCACTTGGTGCCCCCATGTGTTGGAAAATAGAATTGCAATACAAATATCAAAATGGTCTCAAAATTTCGAGCCACACACTGACTGAAATCACGACTAAAGATTTTAAGGATGGGACAGACTTGACAATGGTAGCTTTTTAAGCGCTATGAGACACTACCCTGCGTAGAGGGCACTATATCAATTCAAGTTGTTCTTATTGTTGTTACAGATGGCATAATGGGTGGCCAGGTCTACAGAACCAAGCCGAATCTCAGTGGCAGTCATCACACTCAATTTCTGTTAAACCCTGCAAGCCAAAGTCCCAAACTGTAGTGTGGTCTGAGCTGTGTAATAATAATAATAATAATCCTTGCATTTGATAAGCAATAGGAAAGCTTCCCAAGCAGTGATATCAATGGGTAGCTATGCAGTTTTAGTCAGTTAGACTCCAGCTGTACGCCAATGCCCGTTCTGAGGTCCCCCAAGCCATGGCTCTTGACAACCTGCGGCTAATACTCTCCAGAATGAGGTAAGCAGGGACGCTTCTCTCCAGGGAGGGAGTGTGCATTCCACCTCAACAGTCTAACACTGGAATTTCCACGTAAGGGCGGGATGCATGGAAAGAAATCTCAGTTTGGTCTGGGTACCAAGCATGGTGACGGGCTTCCCGCACGCGTCAGGCCCACCCACCCAACCCCCCCCCAGCGAACTGAAGCGAAATCCAGCAGGGCACAGGGGAGGGCCAAATGGAATTGGAAAGTCTTACACTATGATGTCGGGTGGAGGGCGCGGCCCCTTTAAGGGAGGGGGACGTCAACAGCACGGACGCGGCCCCTTTAAGAGGGCGGTGGTCGGGGAGGGGGGGGTGGAGGAGGGAGGGACACGAACAGCGCAGGCGCGGTGGGCGGGACACGAACAGCGCAGGCGCGGTGGGCGGCTCCCGCCTGTCTGTCTGTCTGTCTGTCAGTGGCCGAGGCGGGAGGGAGGGAGCGGAGTGCGATGTCGGAGAGCGGTCCCCTCGGGTGGCGTTCGCCTCACCCGCCGTCGCCCGTCGCCTCCTCCCGCGACTCCAACAGCGTGGCCGCCTGCGGCCGCACCCACTCCGTCGTCTCCGAGTGCACCAACACCGAGGACGAGGAGGGAAGCGACGCCATAATGTGCGGCGGCGACGACGACGACGACGACCCGAGCGGCCGGAGGCTCCTCAGGCACCAGTACCGCGAGCTCATCAGCACCGTACAGCGTGAGTGACGGCAATATCTCCTCATCGTAATAATAATAATAATAATAATCCTGGCGTTGAACCTAACGCCTTATCGCCTGGGCTCACAGTGAAGTGCGGCCGCCATGTTCAATGTCGTCGTCCCGTCCCCCGTCCCCGCGCCCTCGGCCCCCCGACGGCGGGCGCGACGTCACTGTGGGCGGGGCGGCTCCCGACGCGCATGCGTGGTGCGGCGCAAGTGGGAAATGGGCTTCGATCCACTCAGAGGCCCCACTCTGGTGAGATGGTCTCTGTGTGTGTGTGTGTCTCTGTGTGTGTGTGTCTCTGTGTCTGTGTGTGTGTCTCTGTGTGTGTGTGTCTGTGTCTGTGTGTCTCTGTGTGTGTGTCTCTGTGTGTGTGTCTCTGTGTCTGTGTGTGTGTCTCTGTGTGTGTGTGTCTGTGTGTGTGTGTCTGTGTCTCTGTGTGTGTGTCTCTGTGTGTGTGTCTCTGTGTGTGTGTCTCTGTGTGTGTGTGTCTGTGTGTGTGTGTCTGTGTCTGTGTGTCTCTGTGTGTGTGTCTGTGTGTGTGTCTCTGTGTCTGTGTGTGTGTCTCTGTGTGTGTGTCTCTGTGTGTGTGTGTGTGCGTGTCTGTCTGTGTGTGTGTCTCTGTGTCTGTGTGTGTGTCTCTGTGTGTGTGTCTCTGTGTGTGTGTGTGTGTGTCTGTGTGTGCGTGTCTGTGTGTGTGTGTGTCTCTGTGTGTGTGTCTCTGTGTGTGTGTGTCTCTTGTGTGTGAGTGAGTGTGTGAGTGTTTCTCTCGATACAGTGCCCACTCCATCCTCCTCCACCGACTCTCCTCTCACCTCAACCATCAAGGTTCTGTCCTTGAATGGTTCAGGACTTGTCTCTCACACCGTCTCCAATTTGTCTCCATTAGCAGTTTCTCTTCCAGCCCCCCACAGTCTTGTGCGGTGTTCTATGTGGCAGAATGGATACAGAACTGGCTGGTAGACAGAAAGCAGAGAGTGATGGTGAACGGTTGTTTTTCTGGAGGGAAGTGTCCAGTGTTGTCCCCTAAGGGTCAGCATTGGGACCACTTCTGTTTTTGATCTATATAAATGACCTGGACTTGGATACAGGGAGTACAAGTTCCAAGTTTGCAGATGATGCCAAGCTAGGAAAATTAGTAAACAGTGAGGAGGATAGTAGCAGATTGCAAATGGACATAGACAAACTGGTAACATGGGCAGACATGTGGCAGATAAAGTTTAATGTGGAGAAATGTGAAGTGATGGATTTTGGAAGGAAGAATGAGGAGAGGCGATATAAGCTGATGGTACAATCTTAACAGGGGTAAAGGAACAGAGAGACCTGGGGGTTCATATAGGTAAATCTTTGAAGGTGGCCGGACAGGTAGATAAAGCTGTTAAAAAAGCATACCAGGCTTTATAAATAGAGGCATAGAATACAAAAGTCAGGAAGTTATGATGAACCTTTATTAAAAAAAACTGGTTAGGCCTCAGCGAGAGACTGTGTTCAGTTCTGGGCGCCACACTTTAGGAAGAATGTCAAGGATTGGAGAGAGTTCAAAGGAGATTTACCAGGATGGTACCAGGAATGAGGGATTTCAGTTATCAGGAGAGGCAGAGAAGCTTGGATTATTCTCCTTGGAGCAGAGGAGGTTAAGAGAAAACTTAATAGAAGTTTTCAAAATTCTGAGGGGATTTGATAGGATGAACAAGGAGAAACTATTTCCACTGTCGGGTGGGTCAGTAACCCGAGGGCACCGATTTAAAATAGTTGTAAAAAGAAATAGAGGGGAGGTGAGGAGAAATGTTTTCACACCGCAAGTTGTTCAGAACTGGAATGCATTGCCTAAAAGGGTAATGGAAGCCGATTTGGTAACAACTTTTAAGATAGAACTAGATAATTATTTGGGGAGGACAAGTTTGCAGCGCTATAATAATAATCCTTGTTTTTGATATAGCGCTTTTCACGTCTTCTAGATGTCTCAAAGCGCTTCACAGAATTGACTGTATATCTGTGGGTGAAACGCGGCAGCCAATTGCACACAGCGGTGTCCCACAAACAGTCGTGGATTGAAAATGACCAATTTATTATTGTTTTTGTTTTTTGGAGGAATTATTATTAGGCGTATGGAGCAAGGAAACTTGCCCAAGGTTTCGCCCTGCCTGGAATTAAACCCAGGTGTCTCGCTTGCAAAGTGAGCGCTCTAACCACTGAGCTACAGGATGCCAAGCAGAGTTAGGGAGTTAGAGTGATAAGTAGAATTAGAGAGTGATACCAGTCCACTTCAGTGTTTATACTCCATACAAGCCCCCACTAACCACTTGCTCGCAGCAAGTTTTCTGTTAAATACTGTACATTGAAGCAATTTACTTCACCCATGAATGCGACATAGACAGAATCTGTGTGTGCCAGTATCTAATTGATGATTTCAGAAAGAATAATATCGACTTGTCGAGTAACTCAGGCAGTGAGACAGCCATTTAATCACAGTGCATTCCATCGAGAGTGTCAGAGAGAGAGTTTCACAGCGAGCGTCTGACAACAGCCTCAGTGTGTGTGTGTGTGTGGGGGGTGAAGAAGGGGGCCAATAGTCCAGTCATCCAGCTTGGAGCAGAATCCTTCCTGACAAGACAACAACTGAGGAGCCAGGGTAACCAAGTACTGGGGAGAGAGTGGGGGAATGGGATTGATTTGGGTAGCTCTTTTCAAAGAGCTGGCACAGACAGATGGGCCGAATGGCCTTCTGTGTTGTATAATTTTATGATTCAATCTCTACATTCTCCCCCTTGGTGACATCATCCACAGAGATGGGGTCAACTGTACGCGGATGACACCCAACTCTCTCTCTCTGCTTCCACCCTCGATTCCATGACAATTGACATCCTGTCAGATATCTGTCTGACATCATGCCCTGGATGAGAGCCAACTTTCTATACTGAATGTCAGCAAGTTCGAGGCTCTTCTGATTGGTTTGCACCAGCGCCTCTGTACCTCAGGCATGGGTAGCATAAACATCCACAGATGCAACATCAATAAAATTACATTTGTAAAATGCCTTTCACGTCGGGAGGATGTCCCAAGGTGCTGAACAATCGGAGATCAGGATCTGAGCGTGGGGGGAGAGGGTTGCGATGCACGAGGCTGAGAGGTAGGCGGGCAGCTGAAGACACAGTTGAAAAGGAGGGTCTTAAGTCGTGACTTGAAGGAGGCAAGGGTGGGAGCAAAGTGAACGGATGGCATTTCAAAGGGTGGGAACAGAGAGGCTGAATGCCTGGCTGCTGATGGTAGAGTGCATCGGGTGGGAGACATGGAGCAGGCCAGGGCCTGCTCAACGGAGGGAGCAGACAGGTTGATAGGGGTTTATCAGATCAGAGCTGTAGGAGGGGGCAAAGCCGTGGAGGGCCTTGAAAGTGAGGACAAGGATTTTGAATTCTATCCTCTGAGGGATGGAGAGCCAGTGGAGTTGGGTGAGGGTGGGCGTCACGGAGCCTGGTGCAGGAGAGGACACAAGCTGCAGAGTTCTGAATGATCTGCAGCTTGTGGAGGGAAGAGTTGGGGTGGCTGAAGGAGTTTCTGTAGTCGAGCCTTGAGGTGACAAATACGTATACGAGTTTCGGCGGGCTGAGTGGTGAGGCAGTGGTTAAGTTGGGTAATGTTGCGGAGGTGGGGGAAGGCAGAGTGGGTCATGGCACGGATATGGGGGAGAAAGGACAGTTGAGGTGGAGTGTGCAACCGTGGATGCTGATGCTGCCAGTGCCTGAGGTATGGAGATGCACCTTCGCTTCATCAAGCCATTCAGGAACCTGGGCGTCTTGAGTGTCTCTGTGTGAATGCGTATGTGTGCGTGTCTCTCTCTGTCTGTGTGCGTTTATGTCTCTTTGTGTGTGATTGTGTGTGCGTCTCTGAGAATGTGTCTGTGAGTGTGTGGGCCTCTATCTCTGGGTCTCTGTCTCTGTCTGTGTGTAGTTCTGGGTCTGAGAGGCAGGAGGTAGCGAGCTTACATAGCCCTGCAGTCAGGACACTTGTCCTGAGTGTTTTTTCATGGATCCCCCACCCATGGGCCACTTAGTTTTGATTGAAAAAGAAATCAGTAAGACTGTTTTACAACAATTTAATATGTGATATTAATATTACAAACTTTCTTGTGTTTAGTTTTTATTAATAAAGTGAAAAATACAGGTTGGCAGTAAAATGTAACTCAATAGCACCAATCAACTCCCCGCAATTTTCTGCAAAAGTTGGACAAATTTCCCTGAAATTTTTGGCAAATATTACCATACTTTTTCTATTCGCCCAGCTTATCACATATTCGAGACAGCTCAAAGCGCTTCACAGAATATATTGTAAATTGGATTGACTGTATTTTGTGAGTGAAATGCGGCAGCAAATTAAGCACAGCAATTATATCTCAGAACTGTATTGCCCTTCTTGTCTGTTCTGCTTTTGTATGATCATGGAATAATTCCAAGGAAAGGTTATGTACTGATTGCTGACATTTAAACTCAGAATACTTTTTGAATGTCTTTATCAATTCGTTTAGAGAATCGTGAGGACATGATCAGACCTAGTAATAACAAATTAACAGAAGCACTGAAGGAAGGAGATAAACTGTTCTCCAATGGTAAGCATCTCTGTACTACTTTCTGTTTTAAATAAAAAAGTTGAAATCCCAAACTATCTACAGAGTTAAAATATTTAAACTAAATAAATTGGCTAATACTGTACTTCTATCCTTTGTACTGCCTTTGGCTTCAGGTCTGTACAATTTGACTAAACATTACAGGGAACTAAACATATACACACATTTCACCAGTATAGTGGCCATTTAACTTGATTCCCAATCTGTTTAGACTCTTTAATTCTTAGTGAAATCGTTCAGTTTAGTAAGAATTAGACCACATGGGGAAACCCTGTCAGAAGAAGTCTTAAAATTGATTAAAACCATCTAAAAGTGCTTTGTACCCCTTTTCTCATTGTGTCCCTTTCAGTCCGACAGACACGAGAAGCAGTGCTGGATGCCCAGTTTCTTGTCCTTGCCACAAACCTAGGACTAGAAAAGGCTAATCAGCTACACACAGACATGATAGTGTTTGATCCATCAGTCTTTGCAGAACAGCTGGTAAGATGCCAGTACATGTGGAAGCGCACAAATATATTGAACTTCAACTGTCCTCCTGATGTAAAAGCTGCTGTATAAATGCCATCTGTTGTTGTTCAGATCTAATAGTAGCCCCAAACTAGTTGTTTCATTTCGTCAAATAGAGATCTGTAATTGTGAGTGAAGCACATCTGGTTGTGCTTATATTGAGTTCTTTTGCTGAAATTTTTGTGTATCCCAGTCGGTTGTACAAAGTGCTTTTAGATATCCTCCCAAAATGAAAGGCGCCTCATAAATTAAAAGTGCTGGATCAATGGTCAATTTATTTTAATCAATAGTTAAGAAACAGAAGTTGTATAGTGTCTTAATGTAAAAATGTCTCTCACAAGTAATTATGCTGCCAGTGATTGTGATTGTTTTTATTCAATAACAACTTGGATTTATATAACGCCCCTTGTGTGGGGTAGCATCCCAGAGCGCTTGACAGTGGCGGAGCATGACACCAAGCCGGGGAGGAGGGGGAAGTGACCATAGGCAAGATCGAATAGGAAGATCTTCAGGCACAACCTGAAGATGGGGAAGGAAGGGGCAAGGCGGAGGGATATAGGAAGAGCGTTCCAGAGTTTCGGGGGGTAGTGGCTGAAAGCATGGCCACCAATGGTGGAACAAAGGGCACGAGAGACATGCCAGTCGAGCGGAGGCAGCAGGTTGGGGGTTAAGCTGGTCGGAGAAATAGGGAGGTGCCAGGGCATGAAGGGATTTGAAAACGTATACGAGGAACTTGAAATCGATATTCATTTAATCATGGAAGGTTTCACCTGAAGGGAAAAACACATTGGATTAATCTGCACCATAATTTATTTTTTACTGCAATTTATTTTTTTATGCAACCTAGAATGATGGGAATTGAGCCTTGAGCGCAGAAGCAGGTCAACAGACAGTTCAAAATTTATTTTTGTACATGGAGGAGTGGTAAATATATAAAATAGACAACCCAAAGAGGCTGTAGAGGCAAATTCTGTCAGAACTTCAAGGGGGAATTAGCTCTTTGAGGAAGAAATTCAATTGTAGAAAGGGAATTAAAAGCTAGAATTATAGGAAAGAGAGAATAGGATTTTTTAAGCATTTTACTTTCAGTTTAGTACATTTCTACATAACCTAGGAGTATTGGTTTAGAAATATTTTGATGGTGAAATGTTTTACCTTGGCTTTTGATAGAAATTTGGCGTGCAAACTTATCTTGGTGCTGCGTATGTGTGTATATATATATTATATGTATATATTACTAGCTTTCTATCAATGGTTTGAATTCTTATATAGTTGACATTCATGGGTCTGAACCGCTTGGAGGCTGGAGAGAGTGATGAGGATGAGGCTGCTGGATGGCTTCCTAAAGATGCCTGGACTAAACTTGGAAAAGAAACTGAAAAATATTTTAAAAGAGCTCCAACCTTTCATTACATGTAAGTGAAGCTTCCTGCTTAGCTTCTGAATTATTGAACTCTGTGTTGTCATTTGTTTTATTCTGCCCCCCCCCACTCCCCAAGCTGACCACAACTCTAATTTATGTTACAGGCTGGGATCTTTCAAAGCTGAACCTCCAGCTCCACGACAGAAAATTGTGAGGCAGAAAAGGGTCCCAAATCAGGAGGAACGCAGAATAATGCCCACACAGGTTTGTTGGTCTTCAGGCAGCTCTGCGAAAGGTGGAAAGATTAGGAAATCTGGGTTCAACTCAGTTTTGCATATCAATTGAATTTGAAACCTAACAGACTTGTCAAAATCGTGACCGAGAGATGGCTATTCAGAAAATTTAATTGGCTGAGGATTTCTGCTGCCGAGCAATTGGTGGCTGACGTATGAATTAATTGGGGCATTCGAAAAACAAACCGATTGATTGAAAGTTTATTATGCAATTGTACATTTTTAATTGTAATTATGTAATTGTAAGAATGAGCAAAGGAGATTTACTTTGTATCTAATTTAAGGCTTAACTGAAGTAGAAGTTGCCTAAAGTAGGAAGTGGTAATTTTCAATTTCCTTCACTTCCCAGCGAGCCCCAAAAAGCCATTTGCGGAGAAAAAATTACCAATTGATAGTGGGTCAAGAACTTGATTTTAAGAAGAGCCACAAACACCATATACTTCTAGAAATAAAAAATCTGTTAACTTTTCAAAAGAGAAACCTCCATTTACGTTGCTTTCTCTGTGCTATTTTGTAGCTAAAGAAAATGGATGAGTGTCACCAAGAAGCCACTGAAAAAGAAGTGGAGAGGATCTTGGGGCTTTTGCAACAGTACTTCAGAGCTGAACGTAAGTTGTACATGAAGTGTAATTTGCTTGTACAATAATACCAATGATGAAATTATACATCAATTCTGTTTAAATGAAAAATGTTTACATTTCCCATGTAATGGTGCTGTGAATATGAAGTGCAACTACATAATGTATATAGGGTGATCAATGATTATTATTTTCAGCGTTTATTGAGGGAGTAAACTAACCGTTTCCATAATATATAATCAGAATGTATGTAATATGTATGTTTCTGATCAAAGTGCAGAAGCTATATTTTTTAGGCTTTTCCTTTTACTGCCTTGAACTCAGGATTTGAGCTAAAATTCTTTGTTTGCCCAGATAATAGCTACTTCAAAAGTGCTTACTTTAATTCCTTAAAACTTTAACCATTTCCCACAGCTGAAACTCCCATCAATTTTTTTGATTTTGTGATTGATCCACAATCCTTTCCACGGTCTGTGGAGAACATATTCCACGTATCCTTCATTGTCAGGGTAAGTGTTAAATAAAGCCTTTGAAGTAAAAAGAGAGATAATGCTTGGAAGAGCATTTGCTTGTTAGAGTGAAGGGCCACATTGAATTGTTAACTTATCTGAGTTTGTCACTCATAACGCTAGGCATTTCCAGTGTTTTGCTATTATTGTATATTTAAGTGATTTACTTATTGGATTATGTTGCCACACGGAGAAGATTTCAGATGGGTTCACTTTCTGGAACGTGCTATTAAACTATTTGGAGAAGGGGCAATCTTCAACAGTAGTATGCACAACCAATACAAACTTCTATTTTTTTATTAAAAAAAACTTGGATCATTTCTAGCACTAATGTATTTAGCATTGTGCTGCCATCAAGTAACCCCAGATATGCATTGGAACTTAATTTATTTAGTGCTTAATATCCCAATGAATTTATGTGCATTCTCACAAAATGAAATTGTGACTTTGTTGGTGCACCTAAATGAAATGTTTTTTTAAAAAAAGTAAAATCCCCAAATATTAAGAAATAGGCAATACCACACAATGTCATTGGGGTACTTTTTTGGTACAGTAAGATTTGCTGTTTAAAATGATATCAAAATCATAAAGGATAACAATGTGTTTCAGGATGGTTTTGCTGCACTTAAACTTGACCAGGACAAACTCCCAATCATTGGTAAGGAAAGCAAGTGAACCAGAAAGCAAAAATACACTGACACCTGGGGTTAAACTAATTTGCTATCCTTGTAATGCAACCTGTTTCTCCCTCCTCCATATATTAATGCAAATGGAAATATTTAATGTGTTATAAATTTGTTTTGTAATAAAATCCAGAGTAATATTACATTGAAATTAGTAACTGTTTTAAAAACATTAGAGCCTGTAAGTGAAAGTATGGACAACGACGGACCACAGCAGCAAAGGCAACAGATGGTTATTTCCCTGAGTCCACAGGAGTGGAGGGTATGTATCGCAAACCTGTGTATATAAAGCTTGAGAACATTGGAATAGAAATTACATTAGAAAGCAACAACAACAAAATTACATTTGTATAGCGCTTTTCACATCGGGAGGATGTCCCAAGGCGCTGGACAATCAGTGTTTCGGATCCGAGCTAGGGATCGGGGGGGGTTGGAGCGCAGATGGGGAATATGGGTGATTGAAGGCACGGACGAAGAGGAAGGTCTTGAGATGGGCCTTGAAGGAGGCAAGGGAGGGGGCAAGGTGGTGGGACTGCAGGATGGATGTAGTGGGGAGCAAAGCCATGGAGAGCTTTGAAGTTGAGGATCAGGATCCTGAATTGTGATGAGTAGTCAATGGAGTCGGGTGAGGTTGGGGGTGACAGAGTCCCGGAGCCTGGTGCGGGAGAGAACATGGGCTGCAGAGTTCTGGATGATATGGAAGCACTGTTATTAATTAGAAAAATCATGTGTAAATCTTGTTTTAAACCATTCTGCCTCAGTTTAATTTTGATGAATTCAGATTTGTTTTAGAATAAAATGCAGCTTCCAGTTAATGCTCTATTTCAGGACTGGGAATCACATAGTCTAAGTTGACTTTGTTACATTGTCAGAGGTGTTGTCCTTCGGATGAGACGTTAAACTGTCTGCCTTTTCAGGTGGATGTTAAAGATCCCAATACACTGTTTGAAAAGAAGCGAGCTTCTGGTGCGCTGGCCAACAATCCCCACTCAAATAAAAAATTTGTCACTTGTTTCATGGTTGTTTGTGGGACATTGCGCAATCGTGCTGCTGCATTTGCCTACAAATACAGTGACTCCATTTCACAGTAATTCCTATGAAGCGCTTTGAGACATCCTTTAGACATTATTAGTCTTGTAGCTCAGTGGTTAGAGCACTCGCTTTGCAAGCGAGAGACCTGAGTTCAATTCCAGGCAGGTCAGGGCGAAACCTTGGGCAAGTTTCCTTACTCCACACAGAGCCTAATAATAATCCCTCCCAAAAAAACAATAATAAAAATTGGTCATTTTCAATCCATGACTGTGTGGGACACTGCTGTGCGCAATTGGCTGCCGCGTTCGCCCACAAATATACAGTCAATTCACTTACAGTATATTCTGTGAAGCGCTTTGGGACGTCCTCCCGACGTGAAAAGCGCTATATCAAATGCAAGGATTATTATTATTATTATTATTAGGTGCTATACTAAATATTATTTCAAAAAAAAGTTTAGATGAATTCCTGTCAACTAAAAGGGATCACGGTTGTTAGATTTTTCAGATAGATAAAAGGATTTGGGGAAATTGGAGGGGATGATTTGATAGGCCAATAATCAACTGCATGAAATTGTTTGTGTAAAGCTTGGAGGGTGTAGGAAGAGACTGGAAAAAACTAATATAAACTGTGGGAAGAGGATTCTTTGTCAGCCATTGAATCCCAACTTTGTGACAGTATACCAGGGTGATCTTGTGCTCACATGACTTGAGTTCCAAATGCTGATATGGTTTGTGTAACTTGACAGACTTTAGGATTAGCTGTTTATTTGACCTTATGTAATTATAAATTCAATAATGCATTTAATTCAGATTTTCCAAAGACATTTTTGTCAATCTTCTCCACTGCTCACATGCATGTCTTATTTTCTAGGATATAATTGATACATTTGAAATAACAGAAGCCATGATACCAGGAATACAGCATAAGGAGTAACAAACCACCTTGATATGTATGCAGCTTTTATCAACTTGTAAAAATGTATATATTGCACAACTATACTGTATGGTTGAGATTACTTGGTTCTTGCAGTTATCATTGGGGGCACAATGGAAATCATATAAAATTTAGGAGACATGACAAGAAAATTAGTGTCAGTGTGGCTCAGTTGATAGCATTCTTACCTCTGAGCCAGAATAGGGCAAAATGCTTAAGTTGGAGCATGGAAACTGATTAGGTGAAGGCATTGTACTCCATAAGAGAGAAGACTGCTTTAAACAATTGTTCATAAAAAATGTTTTAAATATTACCAAATTACACTAAACAATATCTACTATTACTTTGACAGGTGCCTTATAAGAAATTTAAACCGGAAGACGTGATGGCTTTCTAATGTTTTAAGCAATCCAGGACACTAGCCGGGCGAAGGGCGCTGTATAAATGCAAGTTGTTGTTGTTTTGGCTTATTTTTGAAAACTGAATAAATGGAATAGATACTTTTCTGCCTGGAAGTATTTAAACACATTCTCTTCTATTCTTTAGAAACAAAGGGTTAAAAGTTGTTGATGATTGCAGCTGCTTTTTTGTTTAGAAAGCTCTCATTAGGTCAACATTTGAACCTGTCATATTTGAAGGTTTGCCCAAGTATTGGTTTAGGGACTGAAGGGGATATAAACAGCGTACGCGCGGCCCCTTTAAGAGTGCGGCGTCATCACGCGGCCCCTTTAATTGTGCGGCGTCATCACGAAGGCGCGTCCCTCTTAAGTGGGACGTCATCACAGAGGCGCGAGCAAGATGTCAGAGAGCCGATCCCGCGGGCGATCCTTGCAACAACCGCCATCGCCGCCCACCTCCTCCTGCACCTCCAACAGCGTGGCCGCCCGCGGCCGCACAAATTCCATCGTCTCCGAGTGCACCGAGGACGAGGAGGGAAGCGACGCCATTATGTACGGCGCCCGCGATGACGACCCGAGCGGCCGGCGGGTCCTCAGGCTCCAGTACCGTGAGCTCATCAACACCGTGCAGCGTGAGTGCGTCTCTCTCCTCTCTCCCCCCTCCTCCTCCCATTCCCACAGTGGCCTCTCATAGCCCAGCGGTGAGCGGGGCGGCTGGAGCCGCCTTCAGGCACCGCCTCACGGGGGCCGGTGAAGTGGACCTGGGAGTAACGACCCCTAACGGTCCGCAAAGCGAGAGGCGGACCGAGTAGAGGCAACGGTTGCCTCAGTCAGCTGTTTGTCCGACGTCATTGTGGGCGGAGCGGCTTCGGACGCGCATGCGTAGTGCGGCTCAAGTGGGAAATGGGCTTCACTCGGGAGGTCCCTCCGGAGATCGCGTGTGTGTCGGCTTTGCTTCTGTGTTGAAGAAGAAATGAATCAAAATGTTCTTCAACAACAAAATATGTTATTTCCACGTGTTTAGTTATCAATAAAGTGAAAACATTTGAGGTGGACAGTAAAATGGACCTCAATAGCACTAACCAACCCTCGCAATTCCCCACAGAATGAACCTGCACAATGTTTGCCGAATCTCAAAGAGCTTCACAGAATATATTGTAAAGTGGATTGACTGTGTATTTTGTGAGTGAAATGCGGCAGCCAATCGCGCACAGCAATTATACCTCAGGACTATTGCCCTTCTTGTTTATTCTGCTTTTGTATGATCTCAGAATGATTCCAAGGAAGAGGATTGCTGACTGATTGCTGACATTTAAACTCAAAACACTTTTTGAATGTCTTTATCAATTCTTTTAGAGAATCGTGAGGACATGATCAGACCTAGTAGTAACAAATTGACAGAAGCGCTGGAGGAAGCGAATAAACTGTTCTCCAATGGTAAGTGTCTCTGTACTATTTTCTGTTTTTGAAAAAAGTTCAAATCCCAAACTATCTACAGAGTTAAAATATTTGAATCTAAATAAATTGGCTAATACAACAATAACCACGAGATTACATTTGTATAGCGCCTTTCACGTCGGGATGACGTCCCAAGGCGCTGGACAGAGTACAGCATTTCAGACCCGAGCTGGGGTTGGGAGGGGAAGCGGGGTGGCCGATGGTCGAAGAGCAGGGTCTTGAGGCAGGACTTGAAGGAGGCTAAGGAGGGGGCGAGGTGGAATTCCAGAGGTTGGGAGCAGAATGGCTGAAGGCTTTCCCGCCAATGGTGGGGCGGGGGACGTGGAGCAGGCCAGAGCCGGCTGAGCGAAGGGAACGGGCGGGTTGGTAGGGGGTTAGGAGGTCTCAGAGGTTGGGTGGGGAGAGGCCATGGAGGGCTTTGTATGTGAGGACCAGGATCTTGAACTGGATCCTCTGAAGGATTGGGAGCCAATGGAGTCGGGTGAGAATGGGGGAGATGGCGTCACGGAGTTTGATGCGGGAGAGGACACGGGCTGCAGAGTTCTGGATTACCTGCAGCTGTGGAGGGAGGAGTTGGGAAGGCCGACAAGCAGGAAGTTTGCATAGTTGAGCCTTGAGGTGATGAAGGCATGAACAAGAGTTTCAGCGGCCTGAGGGGTGAGGTAGTGGTGGAGTCGGGAGATGTTACGGAGTTGAGGGAAGGCAGAGCGGGTCATGGCTTGAATGTGGGGGAGAAAAGACAGTTGAGGGTCGAACAAGACACCGAGGTTCCTGACTGACTTGGTGAGTTGTAGTGTGCCACTAGGTAGAACAGTAAACAGTGAGAAGGATAGCAGCCAACTGCAGGAAGACATAATAATAATAATCCTTGCATTTGATATAGCGCTTTTCACGTCGGGAGGACGTCCCAAAGCGCTTCACAGAACACACTGTAAAGTGAATTGACTGTATATTTGTGGGCGAACGCGGCAGCCAATTGCGCACAGCAATGTCCCACAAACAGTCGTGGATTGAAAATGACCAATTTATTATTGTTTTTGGTTTTGGAGGGATTATTATTAGGCTCTGTGTGGAGTAAGGAAACTTGTCCAAGGTTTCGCCCTCTGCCTGGAATCGAACCCAGGTCTCTCGCTCGCAAAGCGAGTGTTCTAACCACTGAGCTACAGGACTCCAGACATAGACAGAATGGTAAAATGGGCGACACATGGCAGATGAATTTCAATGTGGAGAAATGTGAGGTAATGCATTTTGGTAGAAAAATGAGGGGAGGCAATACAGGCTGGTAATACAATCTTAAGGGGGGTGAAAGAACAGAGAGACCCGAGGGTTCAGGTAAGACGGCAGGACAGGGAGATAAAGCTGGCAAAAGGACAAATGGGATACTAGGCTTTATAAATAGGGCCATAGAGTACAAGAGTCAGGAGGTTATGATTAACCGATATAAAACACTGGTTAGGCCTCAGTTAGAATACTGCGCCCAGTTCTGGGCACCACACTATAGAGAGGTGAGGATTATTCTCAACAGAGCAGAGAAGGTTACGAGGAGACCTGATAGAGGTCTTCAAAATCATGAGGGGATTTGATAGGTTAGAAAGGGAAAAACTGTTTCCACTGGTGGGTGTGTCGGTGACTCGAGGTCACAGATTCAAAATAGTATCTAAAAGAAGAGAGGAGAAGTAAGAAGAAATTTTTTCATGCAGCGAGTTGTTCGAATCTGGAACGCATTGCCTGAAAGGGCGGTCGAGGCCGATTTGATAACTACTTTTAAAAATGCGGTGGACGGGTATTTGAAGAGGACGGGTTTGCAGGGTTATGGGGAAAGGGTTGGGGAGTGGGATTGACATTGCATTGCTCTTTTCAAAGAGCCGGGACAGACTCGATGGGCCGAATGGCCTCTTTTTGTGCTGTAGGATTCTATGAAGGTTGATGCTGCCAGAGCCTGACTTTTCCTTTGTACTGCATTTGACTTCAGGTCTGTACAAATTGACTAAACATGCAGGGACCTAAATATATAAACATGTTTGGCTAGTATTGTGGCAATTTATCTTTATTCCTAATCTGTTTAGACCCTTTAATTTTTAGTAAGATCGTTCAGGTTTGCAATTAGACCAAATGGGGAACCCCTGTCAGTATTAAAATTGATTAAAGTCATCTACAAAAGTGCTTTGTATCCCTTTCCTCATTGTGTGCCTTTCAGTCCGACAGACGCGAGAAGCGGCGCTGGATGCCCAGTTTCTAGTCCTTGCCACAAATCTTGGACAAGAAAAGGCTAATCAGCTACACACAGACATGATGGTGTTTGATCCATCAGTTTTTACAGAACAGCTGGTAAGATATCAGTATATGCGGAAGTGTACAAAATATACCAGCGCCTCCTGACGCTATGTAAATGCAATTTGGTCAGATCTGATCATAGCTTGTTTCATTTTGTCGAATAGAAATCTGTAAGTTATTAACACTGAATCCTGCGAGGAGCACGTCTGGTTGTGGCCACTTCTTAGGACTCTTTTACTGAAATTTGTGTATTTTCCTGTCAATTGTACAAAATGCTTTTTAACGTTCTCCCAACATGAAAGGCAGGCACTACATAAATTTGAATCAATGGTTAATTTTTTTAATCAATGGTGAAGATTCTGAGAACTTACGAGTGGCGCTTGATTTTAAAAATTGCTCTAAGCCCTTCATAAGTGATTATATTGCCAATTAATGATTTTATTCATTCAGCCATGGAAGGTTTCACCAGAAGGGAAAAAATCATTGCATTACTGTGCACTATAATTTTCCCTTTTACTGTACAGTATGCAACCTAGAATGATGGGAATTGAGCCTTGATCTCAGAAGCAGGTCAACAACAGTTCAAAATTTATTTTGAAAATTATTTTAAAAATCTATAAAATAGACGACCCAAAGAGGCTGTCGAGGGAAACTCTCATCAGAAGTTCGAGAGGCTCTTTGGGGAAAAAAATGTAATTGTAGGAAGGGAATTCAAAACGAGAATTATAAGAGAGAGAATAGGATTTTTTAAAGCATTTTATTTTCCAGTTTAGTATATTTCTACATAACCTAGGAATATTAGTTCAGAAAAAAAATTGATGGCATTTTTTACCTTCTTGGATTTTGCTAGAAATTTGGCATCCAAACTTATTATCTTGGTGCAATGTGTGTTTCAGTATATATTACTAGCTTTCTATCAATAGTTTAAATTGTTCTCATGTAGTTGACATTCATGGGTCTGAACCGCTTGGAGGCTGGAGAGAGTGATGAGGATGAGGCTGCTGGATGGCTTCCTAAAGATGCCTGGACTAAACTTGGAAAAGAAACTGAAAAATATTTAAAAAGAGCTCCAACCTTTCATTACATGTAAGTGAAGCTTCCTGCTTAGCTTCTGAAAAATGGAACTCTGTGTTGTCATTTGTTTTATTCTGCCCCCTCTCCCCAAGCTGACCACAACTCTTATGTTACAGGCTGGGATCTTTCAAAGCTGAACCTCCAGCTCCACGACAGAAAATTGAGAGGCAGAAAAGGGTCCCAAATCAGGAAGAACGCAGAATAATGCCCACACAGGTTTGTTGGTCTTCAGAGAGCTCTGAGAAGTGGAAATAATTTTTTAAAAATGTTAAATTGAAGTATGGGTTCAACTCAGTTTTGCATACCACTTGAATTTGAATCCCAAACACAATTGTCAAAATTGGGACTGAGAGATGGCAATGCAGAAAAATTACTTTGCTGAGGATTTCTGCTGCCTAGCAATTGATGGCTGACTTTTATGAATTAATGGGGGCATTCGAAAAACAAACTGATTGATGCAAAGTTTATGTAATTGTAAGTTTTTAATTTCCAAGTTGATTAGCTTCCAGGATTGAATGAAGGCGAGTATGGAGTGTGTGTGTGCATGAGTGAGGGGGAAGGGGTGCACTCTTGAGATTGAGGTTGAAGCACATTTGATAGGAATGAGCAAAGGAGATTTACTTTGTATCTAATTTAAGGTTTAACTGAGGTAGAAGTGCCTAAAGTAGGAAGTGGTACATTTCATATTTCCAATTTCCTTCACTTCCCAGCGAGCCCAAAAAAGCCATTACCAATCGAGAGGGGGTCATGAAATTGATTTTAAGAAGAGCCACAAACGCCTTATACGTCTCGAAATAAAAAAATCTGTTAACTTTTCAAAAGAAAAACCTCCATTTACGTTGCTTTCTCTGTGCTATTTTGTAGCTGAAGAAAATGGATGAGTGTCACCAAGAAGCCACTGAAAAAGAAGTGGAGAGGATCTTGGGGCTTTTGCAACAGTACTTTAAAGCTGAGCGTAAGTTGTACATGAAGTGTAATTTGCTTGTACAATAATACCAATGATGAAATTATACATCAATTCTGTTTAAATTAAAAATGTTTACATTTCCCATGTAATGGTGCTGTGAATATGAAGTGCAACTACATTATAGTTATCATTTTACTACATTATAATTATCATTTTCAGCATTTATTGAGGGCGTAAACTAACCGTTTCCATAATTAATCAAATGTATGTAATGTGTAGTTTCTGATCAAAGTGCAGAATCTATATTTTTGAGGCTTTTCCTTTTACTGCCTTGAACTTTGTTTGGCAGATAAAAGTTTCTTCAAAAGTACTTTTTTCATTTCTTAAAACTTTTAACCATTTCCCACAGCTGAAACTCCCATCAATTTTTTTGATTTTGTGATTGATCCACACTCCTTTCCACGGACTGTGGAGAATATATTCCACGTATCCTTCATTGTCAGGGTAAGTGTTAAATAAAGTCTTTGAAATAAAAAGATAATGCTTGGAAGAGCATTTGCTTGTTAGAGTGAAGGGCCACATTGAATTGTTAACTTATCTGAGTTTGTCACTCATAACGCTAGGCATTTCCAGTGTTTTGCTATTATTGTGTATTTAAGTGATTTACTTATTGGATTATGTTGCCACACGGAGAAGATTTCAGATGGGTTCACTTTCTGGAACGTGCTATTAAACTATTTGGAGAAGGGGCAATCTTCAACAGTAGTATGCACAACCAATACAAACTTCTATTTGTTTTTTTTTAAATTTGGATCATTTCTAGCACCAATGTATTTAGCATTGTGCTGCCATCAAGTAACCCCAGATATGCATTGGAACTTAATTTATTTAGTTCTGAATGTCCCAATGAATTTATGTGCATTCTCACAAAATGAAATTGTGACTTTGTTGGTGCACCTAAATGAAATAGTAAAAAAAATCCCCAAATATTAAGAAATAGGCAATACCACACAATGTCATTGGAGTACTGTTTTTGGTACAGTAAGATTTGCTGTTTAAAATGATATCAAAATCATAAAGGATAACATTGTGTTTCAGGATGGTTTTGCTGCACTTAAACTTGACCAGGACAAACTCCCAATCATTGGTAAGTAAAGCAAAAATACACTGACACCTGGGGTTAAATCAGTTTGCTATCCTTGTAATGCAACCTGTTTCTCCCTCCTCCATATTTTAATGCAAATGGAAATATTTAATGTGTTATAAATTTGTTTTGTAATAAAATTCAGAGTAATATTACATTGAAATTAGTAACTTTTCTTTAAAAACAGAGCCTGTAAGTGAAAGTATGGACAACGATGGACCACAGCACCAAAGGCAACAGATGGTTATTTCCCTGAGTCCACAGGAGTGGAGGGTATGTATCACAAACCTGTGTATATAAAGCTTGAGAACATTGGAATAGAGCTTGCATTGGAAACAACAACAAGAGCATTTTTATTGATTACAATCGTTTTTTACAAAAACTCAGCTTCTAATTGAAGCCCGTGTCAGGACTTGTAATCACAAAGTCTAAAAAGTGACATCCTTCGGATGAGATGTTAACCCAGGTCAAGTCTACCTTTTCAGATGGACGTTAAAGATCTGATGGCGCTGTTCAAAAAGAGAAAGGAGTTTCTCTCAGTGTTCTGTCCTACAATCCCCTCTCCACAAAAAAAATGTTTTACTCGTTTCATGGCTATTTGTGGGTCATTATGTGCCATTGTGCTGCTGCGTTTGCCTAAAAATAGTAACTCCATTTCACCGTAAATCCTGTGAAGCGTTTTGATACGCCCTTCAGATATGATGAAGCGCTATGCTAAATGCAAGGACTATATTATTTCAAAAATGAACTAGATGAATTCCTTTAAACTAGAGGGAATCGTGGTTGTTAATTCTTCAGATAGATGAAAAGGTTTTGGGGAAATCGGAAGGAACACTTGATAGGCCAATAATCAACTACTTGAAATTGGTACTGTAAAGCTTGGCGGGCACAGGCAGAGACTGAGAAAAACTGAAACTGTGGGAACAGGATTCTTTGTCAGCTATTGAATCCCAACTTTGTGACAGTGTACCGGGGTTATTTTGTGCCCACATGACTCGTGTTGTAAATGCTGATATGGTTTCTATAACTTGACAAGACTTTATTTGACCTTATAAACATGTAATTGTAAATTCAACAATACATTTATATCAGAATTTGCTTTAATTCAGAAATTAAACTGCTTTTGTCAAATCTTTTACACTGCTCACAAAAATGTCTTATTTTCTAGGATATAATTGATACATTTGAAATAACAGAAGCCATGATACCAGGAATACAGCATAAGGAGTAACAAACCACCTTGATATGTATGCAGCTTTTATCAACTTTTAAAAATGTATATATTGCACAACTATACTGTATGGTTGAGATTACTTGGTTCTTGCAGTTATCATTGGGGGCACAATGGAAATTACATAATTTTTTAGGGGACATGACAAGAAGAAAATTAGTGTCAGTGTGGCTTAGTTGGTAACATTCTTGCCTCTGAGCCAGAATAGGCCAAAAAGCTTCAGTTGCAGCTTAGAAACCAATTAGGTGAAAACATTGTACTCCGATAAGAGAGAAGACTGCTATTAAACAATTGTTCATAACTTTTTTTTTAAAATACTGCCAAATTGCACTAAACAATATCTTACTTTTACAGGTGCCTTATAAGAAATTCAAACTGGAAGATGCGATGGCTTTCCTGAAATAATTTGACTTGAAGGAACTTTTTGTAAAGTGTATGAGCCAACATCATACAATAATGTAATGAATTCTAATGTTTTAAGTGCTCTGGGATGCTACCCTGTGTGGAGGGTGCTATGTAAATGCAAGTTGTTGTTCTTGTTTATCTGTTTTGGCTTATTTTTGAAAATTGATTAAAAGGAATAGATAATTTTCTGCCTGGAAGTATGTAAACATATTCCCTTCTATTTTTTAGAAATAAAAGATTAAAAGTCGTTGATTGTAGCTGCTTTTTGGATTTGTTTAGAAAGCTCTCATTAGGTCAATATTTGAATTTTATATTTGAATGTTTGTGTAAATATTATTGGTTATGGGACTGAACTGGCTCCAAGGTGACACGCCTGGCAATGGAATGTCGGAATCAAGCCAGCCCTCCAGTCCGGTTCCTGATGACAGCACAGCTGGACTGGTTCATCGGCAGCATCTGGAAGTGCAGACCAGTCACTGGGGGCTCAGCTCCCATTAACCTTGCAAGCGAAAGCCCTAACGGGTAGGGTGGTCATAGCCGGACAAGCAGCGAGAAAGTTTACCAGACAGCAATATCAATGGCAAGCTATGCGGTTTAAGATGGTTAGACTCCCAACGGTACCCCAACGCACACTCTGGTCCCCAAGCCTTGGCTCTTGCCAACCTGCGCATAATACTTTCTGGAATTAAGTAAGCAGGATGCGTTCCTCCAGGGAGAGAATGTGCATTCCAATCCAACAATCTATCTGGGTTTTTCATCTGTTAGGGGATGAATGGGAATTTCAGCTTGATTTGCATACTCTTTTTTTAAGAATGGTAATTGGTTTCTGCATGTGTCAGAGACCCCTAAAAAGGGCGGAAATTGTATTGAAATTCTATGAAACATTTGTTTGGTGAAGGTATTAAGGTATAGGGGGAAACAGTAAATCACTTGAGGTCCAGATCAGCCATGATCTTGTAAAATGGTGGAACAGGCACTTAGGGGCTGAATAGCCTACTCCTGTTTCTATAACTACTGGTATTTCAGTATACAAATGCTTTATTATTATTAATTCAAACAATGCTTATCATCTTCATGAATATACTGCTAAACAAAAGTTCTACCTTGTGGTTTTTAATTTTATAAATGATAGTCTTGCATGCTTAAAAAATATCAAAGACTTGTTTATTTCTTTCAACCAGTACCTGATAATGTTGAAGGGCTGCTAGAATTGTTTAAGACAGATATATTTGGGTGATAATAGCGTTAAGGAGTATGGCAAAATGTGGGTCAAGACAAAGTGTTGGAACAAGCTTGGGTGAATAGCCTGTTTTCCTATGAAGCTGCCAGATACTCAATTCTTTATTAGGTACCACACCTCTTCTTGGTTCCTTTACAATAGTCCCTGTTGATATGAGAGTTCATTCATTATTTCTTGGACTAATGGGACAACAAAAGTGCCAGTATAGAAAGTGTTTCACAAGCATATATTCTTATATAGTTTGGAACATGACATGTCAAGTGACTGCCAGGATGGTGGAAGGTGAGCTAGATAGACCTTGGCCTTTTGTCTAGCAAATTAGTATGTTCTCAGGACGTGCACATGCTGATGTTACTGTTTCTCAAACGGATACGACAGCAGCATGTGAACCTATTTGGCACAGAGCTCACAGCCAGTGGGCTCACTCTCTCGAACTCCATCCCACAATCCCTCTGACTCGCCCCCTTGCTTCCTTTAAGATCCATCTCAAGACCTCTCTCTTTGACTGTGCCTTTGATCACCCTCCTTTTCCCCTACTCTCCCAACCCCCAGCTCAGGTCTGAAACACTGACTGTCCAGCGCGTTGGGATGTCCTCCCGACGTGAAAGTCGCTATACAAATGTAATTTTGTTGTTGGCTCTTGAGAGGAAAAATGCCACAAAAAGAATAATGTGAGGGGTATAAGTCTCAACTGGCATTGCAAACAGCAATAATAATCCTTGCATTTGATACAGTGCCTTCTCACGTCTTCGAGGTGTCTCAAAGCGCTTCGCAGAATATACTGTAAAGTGAATTGACTAGATTTTGTGCATGAAACACAGAAGCCAATTGCGCACAACAGTGTCCCACAAACAGTCGTGGACTGAAGTGACCAATTCGTTTTGGGAAGAGATTATTACCCCCGGAAAAGCGATTTTCCCCCAATCCACCAACAACTGGGTTCCTAACCCCCTACCGTCCTGCTCGTTCCCTCCGCTCGGCGGGCTCCGGCCTGCTTCACACCCCCCCCCCCCCCCGCCCCGCGCCCCACTAACAGCGGGCGGGCCTTCTGCCACTCTGCCCCCACCCTCTGGAACTCCACCCCGCAGTCCCTCCGCCTCGCCCCCTTTAAGACCCTCCTCTTCGACCTCCCAGCTCCCCCCCCCCTCCCCGACCCCCAGCTCGGCTCCATAACTCTGCCCGTCCAGCGCTTGGGACGTCCTCCCGACGTGAAAGGCGCTTTACACATGTGATTTCGTCGTCGTCGTCGTTGTTGTTGTTGTGCCGACTTCACTGCCGGGAAACAGAGGCGCGTCTGGTAATTGGAAACTTGCCCCACGTTTGGGCCCCGCCCGGGAAGCGCGCGACAGGACTCGGCGGCCCCCAATGTACTCAGTACTGGAATATAAAGGCTTGAGGGCCGGTTACCGCTGCGGATACTGCGGGTCGGGCGACGGCAAAGTCTCCGCAGGTAAAAGTCACGGAGCGGAGCCCATTCCGCTCCAGAGAAGCCGCCGGCGGGAAGGGCTCCTCGGCCGGTGGTCGCCGTCAACGAGTCAAGTTAAAACAAGCGTCCTGTTGGTTGCGAGGGAGGGGGGGAGCGCGGTTTATTTACCCGTCGCTAAATTAAAACGTACAACAACCGCCATAACCGCGCGCGGCGGCGGTGGTGGGGTGAGGGGGTGGGGGGGGAGGAGAGTGACAGGACGATAACCGTTGACTGCGCACGCACTATTTCTCGCTCGCTCTGCGGCGAGCTTGTTGCGCAGGCGCTCTCGAACGAACCGCCGCCTCGCGCCGCCTCTCCTCTCCCGATTGGTCGGCGAGGGGAGTCGTGACTGGACGGCGCGCGCACGGCGGCGGCGGGCGGGGGTGGGTGGGTGGGGGGGGGGCAAATCAGTGTGACAGTTGGTTGCGCTTGCGCACTTTCGCTGACTCGCTCGTTCTCCCCGTGCGCGCGCGCGGCGGGGTTCTTGCGCAGGCGCATTCTCGCTGTGGCGAGGTTGCTGCGCAGGCGCGCTCGAGCGAGCGACTCCCCCCACCACCCAAGCGCTTCCTCTCTCGCGCACGCGCGGCTCTGGCCACTCAGCGAGGTTACCCAGATTACTGGGCGGCTTCACGCCCAAATTGGGCGGGTTGTTGTGCTTGGCGAGAGAGAGAGAGAGAGAGGGGGAGGCAGAACATCCGTTGGGCGGCGACGGGGGCGCCTGATTTTTAAAAGTTTTTTTTCAAGCGACACGAAAGTGCATGTAAACCTCGCCAAACGTGCCTCGCGCAGACCTTCGCTGACCAGCGTTTCGATCGGTACGATCGCCTGCGTCCCCTGAGGAGGGGCGCGACGGCGTAACATTGGGCTACTTTGGGCTGGACTTTGGGCTATCAAACGGGTTTGAATCACCTTGACGAACGGCCGCCGCCGCGGGGGCGCGGGGGTGGGGGCGGGGGGGGGGGTTGGGGGTAAGATGGCCGACGAAGGCGGTGTCACCATCCTGGAGTATTTCAGCGAAGACGAGGGCTACAAGTGCGGTTACTGCAAGGGGAGCGCCAGCAGTCACTCCAATGGTGAGCCCGTGATCGGGGGCTTGCGGGGGGGGGGGGGTCAGTGCTGCGGAGGCGGGGGTTATATACAGAGAGATGTGGGGGGGGTTTCTCTCTCCCATCATCCTCATCATGCAGTAAACATGGCTAAGGGTTGGGGGGGGGGTCAGTCTTCCTCGCAAAGGAGGAGCTGATGCTGACTTCAAGGGGGTGTTTGGTCAGTGAGGAGTTTGCGGCCAACCTTCTGCCCCGGGAGAGGGAAGGAGCAGAGAGCGCGAGCGAGGGGGGCGGGCGGGGAGGGAGGGAGGGAGGGAGGGGGGAGGGCAGGTAATATCACAGCAATAATAATCCTCGCCTTTGATACCGCGCCCGGTCGCGTCTTCCAGACGTCTCTCAAAGCGCTTCACGGAATGAATACGCTGTAAAGTGAATTGACCGTCTGTTTTGTGGGCGAATAAAGGGGAGGTCGCTGGGTAGGGGGAGGGGGGGAGGGAGGGGGGGGACGGAGGGAGAGGCAAAACCTACTCAAATCACGTTAACGATTCATACATCGCACATGCACCGCACAGGCTACGAATGACACTCTCGTTCCGAACAAAGGCCCTCTCCCTATCTTCAAAACACCCCATTGACCTCCCATATAAGGCCCACAAAAACATCCAGTCAAGTCACTTTACAGTATATTCCGTGAAGCGCTTTGAGACGTCTTGGAAGACACGATCAGGTGCTGCATCGAATGCAAGGATTGTTGTTATTGCGTAACAAGCCATCATTAACCTCTGGGGACCCTGCTTGCAGGTTGTTCTTAAATCGTTTAATTTCCTTAAGGAAACATGTTTACAACAAGTACCGCCGCCGTTGAAGAGAGAAAGAGTGCAAAATGTACCCTAACTTTCAAATGCAGCAATTATGTTGTTGTTGTTGTTGTAAGAGACTGGGTGTTCATTTAAAATTACGAGTGGCGTGTCAATCCTGAGCTGATACAGTTCCCAGAGATGACAAATCCTACAATATTGTTTCTTGAAGACTTGATCTTGAGTAATATAGATTATAATTTTGGATTGATGCCCTGTTTTCATATTTTACACCTGTACCTACCTTTGTTCTGATTTAAACTCTTTCTGTATATAATTCGAGTGCAGAATTTCTTCTGTAAGTGACATTTACCTGATAGTGAAACTAACAGTTGATGTTTATTATGAGTGGAAGGTGCGCAAGATATCCATTTCGTACTTTGTTTATATAACAAATTGTCCCAAACAATAAATATTTAGTACATTTTACAAGATGTTGTTACTAATTGTGTTTATTATGCACTTAGTACATTGGGTGTTGATGCAAAAACATGTTCAAATATAAATCTGTTGGATAACTCTTCAAACATTAAGATGAAGTCTAACTTCTACCATAATGTGGTGTTACACTGTTTCTTTTAAGTTGCTTCGTTTACAGTTTGGAAATTATTTTCTGCTGTTGGGAAAGGTAATGGCTCCCTACGTAAAAACAAATGCTCTCGATCTGGAGCTGAACGGTGTGTCTGTCCTGCAATATACTGGGTTATTCTTACAGGACCAGCAACTCTTATTTGCAATCACAGAGCAATTTCCTGAACTGGTTGCATGTTTAATTGTGCCATAAAATGGATCACTCATTTTAAAAAGGCAGAAAATTCCCAGAAAGTCTTCATTTTAGAATGAACCACTTGTACAGTGTGTTCCATCAGACTTTCTGTAACTTGTAAATTTGAAACAAATCTATGAATTAAGTTCATCTATCACAAGTTGAATGTGGTGGGAGGGGGATGTGGGCATAAAGTAAAGATGATGTCACAAGACATAATTATAACATTTTTTATTACTAACTGACTATCAAATTTATCTTTAATATTTGCTGCCATATTTGACAGTTCCAGGAATCATAAAGTGCTAACCTGTAGCTCAGTGGCTAGAGCGCTCGCCTTGCAAGCGAGAGACCTGGGTTCAATTCCGGGCAGTGCGAAACTTTGGGCAAGTTTCTTTACTCCACACGCCGAAAAATAATCCCTCAAGAAAAAAAAGCAATAAAATTGGTTACTTCAATCCACGACTGTTTGTGGGACGCTGCTGTGCGCAATTGGCTGCCGCGTTTCGCCCACAAATATACAGTCAACTCACTTTACAGTATATTCTGTGAAGCGCTTTGAGACGTCGAGAAGACTTGAAAAGTGTTATATCAAATGCAAGGATTATTATTATAAAACCCTTAAAAGTTTTTTGAAATTGACACTTTTTAATTGGTTCCAGCTGTATTAAAATTGCATTTGGTTAGTGTAATGTGAGGTGTTTAATGTATTTCTATTGCAGGAATGTGGGCTCATGCTATGACGGTCAAGGACTATCAAGATCTAATAGACCGAGGATGGAGAAGGCAAGTACTTTTGTTGAGTAACAACTTGTATGCTGTGATGAATTGTTGGCTAGCAATCTAGTACAGAAGATAATTTGCCTAATTAGTTTCTCTAATTTCAGTGAATTAATTGTTTCAAAATACAATAGTTTCTCTTCTGTTGGATCCCAGCAGAAACAACTGTAAATAACCTAACATCAATAACCTAACAAACCTACTTTTGAAGATTTTGTTGAAAAAAAGTTCCACAACAATTGCCTACAAAATATCCTTTGCCTTCAAAATACGTAGTCATTATAAATTACTGTAAATCCTTTGAAGCTTTTTGAGACAACCTCCCAATGTGAAAAGTGCTATATCAAATGCAAGGATTATTCGTATCATAATTTGTCTTTGTACTTGTGATTGCAGTGATAATTTAAAGTTTGTGGAGTCATACAATTGTTAAAATTACTTTTTTTTTGTGTAACGTCCAACACACAACTCTTAATTTTCATATGTTTTTAAGAACATATCTGAATATCTGAAAACGTCTTCCAGGATGTTCCTACAGGATGTTCCAACTTTCCAAACATCTTCTAAACATTTTCTGTGGTTTCTTTTGTCTCTCGGGGGACAAAACAACCAGATGGATTTTAACTCATTTCATAAACAGTACATTCCTGACTTTAAAATGTCAAAAGTACTGGGTGCTTCCCAGTGCAATTGGAGACCTAACCAAGAGAAATGGATGTGGGTTCACGTCCACGAACCTGAAAGAGATGAGATTGAATTCACGTGATCTCCAATCTTAACAGGAAAGCAAAATCTGAGAGAGAGCTGTTAGCATGGTAGAAGCCTGGGACCATGTTTCCTATCTCTCACCTATTAGTGTTCTGTGTTATTAAAGACCTAAAAAACAGTATAGTTTCCTTCTTTCTTGGGATTCCACGCATGCTAATTTCATGAGATACTTTTGCTTTTTGTGGTAAACTAAAAAGCAAGCTAAAAGTATTAACATACAGTATTACAGTATTAACCTCTTTTTGCAACAATAGCCAAAAATATCTGTTGCAGATCTTTCAGAAAGTTAGACTAATAGACAACAATTTGCATTTATATAGCATCCCTCACACAGTCTTCTTACAACTTTATAAAGTTAGAATGAGGTTACATTGTCTGTCTTCTAACAGATTCTCTAACTTTCAGGAGTGGCCTGTATGTTTACAAGCCTACAATGAAGAGAACGTGCTGTCCTCAGTATACTATAAGGTAGGACTTGTCTACTGTATTCATGTCACTAGTTCACTTTTTTCACCAAAATGCAATGTTTATTTTGGCAGAAAGGATGAGTCTTGCTCTAAAAATAGGCTCGGAGTTTGGCTATTTTTCCAGTCAAGATGGAAGGAATGCAACACACTTTCTGAACTTATTGCGTAGGACTGTTTCACTGTCAACCCCTTCCATAATGCTGAATCTCAATGAATTACATTGACTTCACAAAGTACATGGTCTAAACAAAACTGATCTTGTGCCTTTGTGATTATAGAAACCAAAGCATTCTAGGTCTCCAGAAACCTTATTGAGTTGACCCTAGAATACAGAAGAATTTCATGACTATATACATTTGTTCTAAGATATGTTGGTATGTTTGCTTCATAGTTTTATGAGGGGAAAAAAGTCTGCATATTGGAAACCAAACATCTTACAACTTTTAGATGAACACCATTCATTGAGCAAGATGACAGAATTTAAAACTGAAGCCAAGGACATTCTGATGTGACCTATATGTTAAAGATTTTGTACAATTCTCTTTGCAATGGTATTAAGAGATATAGAACAAAAACAGAAGTGGCTGGGAACACTCAGCAGGTCAGGCAGCATCTATGGAGAAAGGAAAGCGAGTCAACGAGTCAATAGATGCAGCCTGACCTGCTGAGTGTTTCCAGCAACTTCTGTTTTTGTTTCAGATTTCCAGAATCTGCAGTATTTTGCATTTTTTTTCAGAGATATAGAGATAGGAATGTGGAGTAAAGGCAGGGCAGTGGGATTGAAAGAATTACTGTGATCTTATAAAATGGCAGAACAGGTTTGATGAGTTTAGTTAACTAACTTAAGTGATGAACTGATTTAATGTATTAGAAAAAGTACAGGATAATGTGCTCCATACTTACCACTAAGTAAAATTGCCACAAAGTAGCCTGACGGCAACTATTTGAAAGCTCAGGATCAGTTATGTGGTGAACACAGAACCATTTGTTTATGGGCTCAATGTAATAAGGTTGTCTATGAGGCAGTGACATACATCCTGCCTTACACAATGGAAACAAACCTCCTTGACCAAATGTTCTAAGAATGTTTTGGGCTATACTAATTGTACCATCAAAATGGAGACTTAAGCGGTTGTTATCTCTTCTTCCCAGGTGTCATCCTTTAGACTATAAACTTTCCAAATCTGGCAAGAAAGTGTTGAAGAAAATGACAAAATTCCTTTCCAAAGGAGAAATACCAAAAGGAGACGGTGAGTGCATTCTGATTCTGTAACACTGATTTCAGAAAACGGTGATCTTCAATACTCCATTCCAGTCTTCAGTTCAAATGGCAGTGCAGTTTGTCTGTACTTCTTACAGTAGAAATCCTTACAATTAAACCTGTCTAAGAAGCTTTCCTGACTGCTGCCAATACTTTGCCATGTTTCTCTGTACAAGTGAAAGTTATAGAGGATACTTAGACACGATGGTGAGAGAGTACTGCTGGCATTTTATCTGCTGTGCTTCAAATTTTGACTCCTGAACATTAAAATAAAATGGTTATAATCTAGCATTATCTTTCTTGTTTGTTTATCTTTTGAAGCTGAACCAATGGATTCTCACTGTGAAGATGCTGGAAGTGGTGATTTATCTGTGCCGTGCACCTCAGAAGTTACTGTAAATATAGAGACACCTTTGAAAACTGTGAGCCTTGAAGAAGGAAAACAAGAGTCCCTTGACAAAGTGGAGACGGAACCTCAATCAGATGCTGCAAGAAAAGGAGAGCTCTGCCAAATTCATCCACCCACAGAGGCAAAGGACTCGATTTCTTCACCAAAGACTGTGCCTAAACCAGGTGTGATTTGCTGAAGTTTAGAATTTGTCTCGGTTTAAGAATCAACACTTTACACTAGAACATTTTTTTTAGTTTCTGCAGTTACCTCTTGTTTAGCTATTGCATCTCTCAAATTGCTACCCTGGTGAATGTTACCTATTTCACATCGTTTCAGTATTTTCTTTTTAAAGGTTCTTTTTTTTAAAAAAAGCAGACATTGTTTAGCAGCGAGTACATTCCTCTGTTTAGGTTCAAGCAAAGATTGAAAGTTCCTCTCCTATTTTCCAAAGAGAGAGAATCCTCCAAGCTGCCATCTCTTTATTATTCAACCCTTTCCGCTCTTTTGCTGATGTTTTTACTACTTTGTTCAAATTGCTTGACCTTTGTGCACATAGACTTCACTTCTCAAAGTCTTAATAGCTGAATCAGTCGGCTTTGATCTCCTGCACCCGCTTTGATTAGGCAATGATAATGGTTCTTTCCCATCTTCAGTTCTTTCTCTTGTAATCTCTTACAAGTGAAACAAGTGGCCGCCATATCTTACTTGCAATGATTTCTCACACTTGCTACAACAATAGAAATCCATTATCAGCATTCAAACCTTGTTATCTTCTGATCTAAATGGAATTCTCATATCTCTTCCACTGCTAAAGCTTCCTTCAATAAGTATGGTTTCCTAATTCGTGTAGATTTAAAAAATGCTTTTGTTATAGTTTGGTAGGTATAGTATGTGGAAAAGATTCCAGTTGGTGAGGAAACTAATTCTGAGTCAGTTAATGCCCTTTAATAAGGAGCTAGATCAAAATCTATTGCCAAAGGAAATTAACGGTTAAAGGGGATAGTAACAGTTTTGTTGGATTACTCTGGAATTTAAGAATTGAGAACTTTGAAGTTACAGAATCAACACAGTGTGTGTGGGGAGAGGACTCTGAAAACAATACATTAATTATGGAAGAACAATGGAGAGAATGGAGCTGTGGATGCTTTTATTTAACAAGTATCTACTTAACCATGGTAGGAGAAGCTCACTGCTAATGGGCTCTATAGCCCCATATGGCTCACCACCTTTCCACACGAGAGATAAGAAATCAGAGGGAAACAAATCGCCCGCAGCAAAGGAAGCATCTGCTCAATGCCCACTCTCTTTTTAACATCCATGTTGTACCGTTGCATGTGGTATCTTGTCACTTTCAGCACTAAAATGATTAGGATCACAGAAGACGTGATTTATACTTCCTGCTTTGAAATTACAATGATTATTACTGAGTGAAACCTGAATTGATTCACACCAACACGCAGTGCATGCAATCAAAGTGCAACAGTGCAAAACCACCTCCTTGCTTTCTGATCACATCCCTTAAACCGAGTTATATTTTTCCCAGCAATTCGTTCCGACTTCAGTGTTGATTTTTCACCAAAAACAGTGTAAAACTGGGCACAAGTGTAACAAAACTAACTGACCACTAGGTGACAGTGCAGCCTGCTGTTCTATTACAGTTTGGCATTTGAGAAAATAGTTATAGAACCGCTATAATATATTTACACAAGGTTACAAACAACTTATCCTGTTTAAAAAGAATAAATGAGTCAAGAAGAAACATGGAATAATTTCACGCACGCATGAATTTGTAACGGCCTTGTTTTATTTCTGCTCGGGTCAATTTTAGTTTAAACGGCAATAGGACTTTTTTTGGTTGTCTCACATTTGGGCGAGGCTTTTCTCTGGCAGAATTGTTTTAAGTTTAATTTTAGTTTAACAGCTTCAGAGTTAAAAGATGTTTAGATTGTGTGGAAGAGTCAAGTCTTTGCTTCATTAGAATTGTTTAAACAAGAACTTCCATGTTGGATTCCAAGAGGAAAAACACTTTAAATAAACTGGTCATTGCTCTGTGGATTTCTTCAGTATGTGAGTGCATGTTTAAAGTTTTGTTCACTTAGGGTTAGGGTTATTGCATTTAAGCCAGTGAAATAAAAACAAGAAAATCTAATCATTTAAATATTAGAAAAATCCAATTAGTAGAGCTGTGACAACCGCAGAAATCGATCTCTATAACCATAGAAATTCAGCCGTAGGAGGAGGCCATTCAGCTCATCTGAAGATCAGAATATGCATTTTCTTATCTATCGACTTTCAGAGAGCAAAGTTTAGTCAAGTGGCTCTTATGCGATTCTGGAGTGTGTCTGCTGGCAGGCGATTCACACCATGAGGCATCACAGCTGATCTTGGTTTTATACTGACCCATCATCCACATTGTGCAATTCTGGCAGAGTTAACTGGATTGTGCTGAATACTAAAGAAAATTCTGAGCATTTTATTTTTAGATCACGATCTTGCATTTGACTACATGTAGATTATGGCTATTGTATCTTGTACTTGGAATGAACAGGAAGTTGTTTGGTACATTGGAATTCTCTGCTTGGATCAGGCAAGCATTCATCTGGAATAAAGTATTTTCAAAAATGGATAATTTCTGTAACAGATTTTTCATAAGACTTCACTGGTTAGGTGTTAACAGAGACAAAAAAATGCATTCTGGATGACTGCAGACTTATTTATGTTCGCTATTTCACTTAGTTGTCTCTATATAGGAATATGCAAGACTGGTAAAAAGCTCTGTTTGGCCAACCAATCCTAGCATTTTTTTTAAATTAAAATGCCATATTGCTGTCTCTATTGATTTTATTTGCCAACTAACGATTTAATTCCCACCCTTGAATAGTTGTTTTTATTGTTGTAGATTGGCCTTTTTGGAAAAGTAACAGGAAGTTTGCCAGAATTTGCCGTTGGGGGTAATGCTGCTTTAGTTGGTGAAAATCCAGCAATATTGCCATGAAATCTGTGAGATCCCCATATGTGTATATTGTGGAATCCTTGGTCTGATTTGAATGTTCTTTAGCATGGTGATGGGTGTACTCATGTGTTAGACCCACGACTGTCCAAAAAAGAACTGAAACATTAAGAATGTAGGTCTGGGCCAATTTAAAATCTAGCTGAACTGTTCAGTATTCTAAGTGCAGATATTTTAACTTTTATAAGTTTATTTGGATTTAAGGAAAGCTGCTTTGGGAAATCAGTACCCTCCGTGGTCTTAGGATGAAAGTGCAAGGAAAATTTAAATCTTATTAGATTTTTTAGATATTACAATTTCAAGGCTACTGAATTAAGATTGCTCGTTTATCTAGCACAATATTCACCAGTCACTCTTGATATTTTTAAATGTATTTCAGTGGATTGCAAACAGAATACATGTATTTCTTAAGCACGGGATATCTTCTGTCTTACTTCTATATTAAACAACCATATTAGTTTCATAGAAAATGGTGCTTTAATATTTCAGCATTAATTTAGAAGTTAAAGGAAAGTCTAGGGCAAGCGCTTATTGTTCAAAGAACCCCTCACCCGAACTAAACAGAGAAAAAATATTATCAATATATTTTATTTTCAGCTAGGCATCCTTGCATTCAATTAGTTTGGGACCCTTATCCATAACTGAGAGGGTGCTCCATCCAGAGAGGAGAACCTGCATTTAGTTTAACAAGGGCGGGTGCTGTGGTAGCCCAAGAAAACAAGTATTTTTATAAAACTGGTTGTGGAGACATTGATATTTACTTCACTTTTAGAAATTCATGCAAACTTTTTTTTAATAAATACAGTTTGCTGCCTGTGAAAGTGTCCAATAGATCCATAGAACAGTCAATTCACTTTACAGTATATTCTGTGAAGCACTTTGAGACGTCTGGAAGACGTGATAAGGTGCCATATCAAATGGAAGGATTATTATTATTTTATTATAGACTCTATTAGAAGAATTCAACAGACATTTTTTTCCCTGAGTTCTCCTTACCCCCAATACACACACACACACATATATATATATATATATAGGGCAGATATTTGCAGAGAAATATATGTGGTCCATATATATATATGTGTGGACCACATATATTTCTCTGCAAATATCTGCCCTGTTGGTATTTTTTAAACAAATAATTTCTTCGCTACATGGGTAAAACTGAAGGAAATAGTTGCCTTTCCTTTATTGCAGCAAACAGGATGTCATTGTGTAAACTATTGATATTGGATGTTAAAAGGATTATGATGGAATCCATCCAGCATTTCGTGATTTAGAGGAAATATCTTTAATAGCCTGGGTGAATGAATTGTAAATATTCCATACAGTCTGTTTACGCTAGGAGAGATGGATGGCTTTCAAAACGCACTTGGTTTTTTGTGTATCAGCAGTCTGGATCCAAAAATACATTTTTTTTTTAAAAAATAGCTTTTTTTTAAACCCTCTTCTGACTTGTTCTTGGGTAAAGTTCTCTGGGTGTTGTCTCGCCTGAGGTATTTTGTCCGTTCTTCGTGGATTGTGAAATGTTGACAGTCTTCAAAAATGAGAGCATTCCCAACTGATCCCAAACCAGTTATTGCCTCATTAGGGTTAGGGATCGGGGAAGGTTGGAGAGGAAAGTGGCTGAGCCGGTGTCACTTCCTGCACCTGCACACAAGCCTGCATCATTTTCTGCACCTTCGATGCTTTATTTTTTATTTGTCGGTCTGCTTTAGTTTTGAGTTTTAACAAAGTGATGTCTTCACTAAAGGGCAAGGAGCCGATCCGAGTAAACCACCTTGCCGTAAAGCAAAGGAGGTTCGGAGGGAGAGAAAACTGCAAAAACTCCTACAGCAACATACAGAAGCAGTTGATATGTCTCAACAAGAAACCTCTTGTGCCCAACCACTTGCACTGCAGCACCAAATCCCTCAAGCCAACCAGCCAAAATCAATTGACGAATTCATATCCGAGTCTCTATCTACAATTGCAGCACATCAACTCGAGGTACTTTGTCATAATATTCTCAGAATTCTTCTGAGACTTTGGTAATTTACTTACATTAATTCTACAGAAGTATTATTTCAAATAATGGAATTAATATTAACCATTTGTCAGATCTTAGCACTTTAACATACATGTTTAATAATCAAGTAAGTATTTTAATAACTTTTTGATCAGAACTCATCATTTAAATTTTTTTAAAAAAAATTATTGGAATCCATAATTTTTATCTCAACAGCAGCTATGATTCTTTGCACGTCACTTTATTTTAGCTTTTAAATATTTAATCGAATTTTCTCCAAACGTAATAAATATACTTCGTAAGTGTTTTTACAGGATATAAACTTGTGTGTCTGGATTTACTAAAAATCCTTGCATTTGATGTAGCACCTGACATGTCAGAACTACTCACAGAGCTTCACAGTAGTTACAATCACTGCAATGATTGTGTATTTTTAGGTGAACACTTCAGCCAGTTTTGTGCATAGCAGTGTTCCACAAGCATCCCGGAGGCGATGACCAAATTAACTGAAGGGTTGTTAGCCAGCACACTGGGAGAAGCTTATTGCGATTTGAGTGTTTTCTCTTATCAAGGGTTATTTAACAACACATCATGCAGACGGGACCTCGGTTTAACGTTTCATCGAAAGGACAGTACCTCTAACAAAGCAGGGCTTCCACAGCACTACGATGGAATGTCAGCCTAGACCAAAGTCACTTAGATAAGAATTGAACCCACACCCTTGTGACCCAGAGGCTATATTGCCACCAACTGACCTACGGATTTGATGTCCTTTTTTTTTACTTCCCACTGAAGTATACCGTTAGAAACTTCCATTCTTGTTTCCGCAGATTCTTGAGAAGTAAACATTTTAAATTAGATGAGATTTGTATCCATTCGGGCATAAATGGAGGGGAAACAAACTTGGCAATGAGATGTCTAAAAAATTCAGTAACTTATAACAGGAATTTGTGAATAGTTTCAATATTTTTGTGGTAAAGGAAGCATCTAAAAGAAAACTGAAGAAAGCATACTTCTGGGGAACAATCTCTACTGATTTAAGTTGATGTTGGCACCGAAAGCGTTCGGTGATACTTTCTAGCAGTAAAAAAAAACGAATCTAGATAAAACCCGCAGGTTTTCAAAACAGCTGGTCCTGTTTAAAATACTTTAAGCTGCATAAACGTTAATAAACATGGTCTACCTTGATGGTATTGTGTGTGTGTTACGTACTCATTTTGTTTCTGGTGCTTTTGAATATAATTTCACAATCTTTTTTCACTGTTTTGTAGACATGGGATTTTGTACACACCGACAGCACTTTCCAGCTTTATTTGTTTTTGTTGAGGTGTGAGTTGCATTCAAGAAATTAGGTCCTACATTGGGGGAAAAAAAATCCTAACAAATTAGTCAGCTGTAAGCCATCTAAATTTCATATGAATTTGACATCATAGAAAAATACAGTAAGCCGCTTGTATGATGTTTACATTCCTTCCTCACCTCCTAATAAACAGTAGAGGGCAGTCTTTACACATCCTTTTTATTAAAAAACTACAGGAACCGACAATTGCCAGGCTTCCCTAATCTTTCCCTTGCGTGGACTAGAAAGGGTCTGCTAAATCTATATCCTGCTCCAGAGGATAGCAAACTTGATGTAAAAGCAGTTTTTTTATGTAATATCAGTGTTTTAATAATCTCGTATTAAAAATTTAACTGAAAAAAATTGGATGCCGGTGTTTATGACTGTAAAATTCTAACATTTTGGAATGCTTTTTCATTCATATTTTGGAACCCTTCAAGTTAAATGCGTATGTTTCTTTATCTTTTCCATTAGACACCATGACATTCCCAAAGGATTTCAGAATTTGGGGAAACAACAAGATATTAATAAAAGGGAGGGTCACAAGAATGGTCAGGAAAGAACAGATACCCTGTTCTCTGACAGGTTGCTTAATGGGCTTGTTTTCTGCAGTCCATGTTTGTTTGTTTTTTGTCTTCCGTTATCACAATGTGTACATGCTTTCTAAAGAAGATCAGGTGTTAGCTTGGATCAGTTGGAAGCGTTCTTGCTTCTGATTCAGAAGGTTTTGGGTTCAAATTCCATATCGTTAAGGATTCCATGGCACAGTTCGCAAAGTGAAGCATGTTTTTCCTGATGTCCTGGTCAACAGACTCCCAGATAAAATTGCTTCATAGCTCTTTGGAACATTCCCGTCTGCAAATTGGCTGCAAATTTTGCCAACCGATACACAATCACTGCACTTTACAATAAAATGCATTGAAGCGCTTTGAGATGTCTCAACATAAGGCGCTATATCAAATACAAGAATCATTAATATATTCCTCTGTGTCCACAATTGCAATTTGGATGTTGATACATGAGAGGAACTATTTGTGAGTGTTACAAATCTGTTTGATGCATGATTTCTGATTCAGAAAATGAGATTAAATAATCTGTCTGTATATTTCTATATATTATGTTGATGCACATTGTTTCATGTATCATTTTGGCTGAGTATGGGCAACAGCAATGTGCTTCCATTCTTCTGCACACCCTAATCAATCGATAGGAAGTGCGGAAAACTGCTCTATTAAGAGTCCATCACCCTGCTGGAACCATCAGGCCTTCTCTCTGCACCTCCCCTTTATTCTAATTCAGGATCAGGATTTTACCTTGTGGTATATCATTGACATAAAATAGTTGGATGCCTTGCACATAATAGGCAAAAATGTTGGCACAGTAACTATTGTGGGTTTTTAATTAAAGACCATTTTTAAAGTTATAATATTTAAATTTTAGATGGTCCTTGGTTAGGTTAGAATGCCTGTGCTTTATGTAATGAGCTACTTGATGTTAGACAAACATGACAGCTAGTCTGAATCAGTTTTGTCCTGCAAACAGCAATAAAATGATTGACCGATTAATCTGTTCTTGAAGAATGTGGATGAGGAATATCACAAGGATCCAAAGAACTCCGTTTTCTTCCTTGATTCAATATAAAATGTTCACAAATTTCTTTTGAGTGTCCAATGTCTGAACCAACTGGGAATTGCATGAATTCACACACTGTGCAATTAGTACTGCCTTTTTAAGAAAGTACTCTATTTATAGAATTCAATCTTTTATAAAATGCAAAATGCAGGCCTGAAAATCTATTTGTTTTGCAACAGTGGGTCTTACAGTGAATAATCGAGCTCCCACAAATCAAAAATTAAGCAAAGTGTTTACATTTTGAAATCTGTTTCTTATTGATCCAGTTTTCATTGACGATGAACCTAATACAATCTGTTGAATCTTTGCTCCCACTTTTAAAAAAAATCATGCAAGCCCCACTCATTAAACGTTTATGTGTTTGTATTATAATAATAATTGTTTTGTTTTCCATATGTGTTAACGTGGAAAATATGTGTTAATATGTGTCAATGTTGCTGCATTTCTTTTGATATTTCTATTTAAAGAGTAAAATGTTTACAATTGAGTATATGTGGTTGTCCGTTTTATAAATATTGGAAATTCGAATGGATGAAATGTTCATTTACATTCTGAACTTTATTAACAATCAGCATTTTTGTTTTGCCTTCTGAAGGTGAGGTTAGTGAGATCTTCTCCACCAGGCTCCCAGTTCAAAGACACTTTTCAGGAGTCTTACCTGCTCTATAAAAAGTACCAGATGGTTATCCACAAGGACCCTCCTGAAAAAGCAACCGAATCACAGGTCAGAATAAGATGGAACTAATTCAGAAACAGCTAGCGGTAAAGGATCCTCACTTTGCTTCAAGACAATTTGCCAATTTTTGTTTGTCATTTTACCGATAGATTGTGTTCAATTTGTTAGCTTGGAGATTATCAAATTAATAATAATCCTTGCATTTGATATAGTGCTTTTCACGTCTTCTAGACGTCTCAAAGCGCTTCACAGAATATAGTGTAAAGTGAATTAACTGTATTTGTGGGTGAAACACGGCAGCCAATTGTGCACAGAAGTGTCCCACAAACAGTTGTGGATTGACGTGACCAATTTATTATTGTTTTTTTCTCTGGAGGGATTATTATCAGGTGTGTGGAGTAAAGAAACTTGCCCAAGGTTTTGGCACTGCCGGAAATCGAACCCAGTTCTCTCGCTTGCGAGGCGAGTGCTCTAACCCCTGAGCTACAGGACTTCACTTATCTCTAAAGACAGTAAGTCACTGAGAATAAATCATTTGGAAAAAAAGTCTGTGTTAGTGCATGTGTACAACCAGTTCTTTAATGTATGGTAGCCATTTGTGGGTTCATTAAAACTTTGCCTCATAATTTGTGGTAAATTGGATAGTTTATAAGAGAAACCTACTCACTAGGATAAGAAAACCCTTGGATGCAAGTAAATGAGCAAATCTATTCTCATTACAATAATATTGGCCTCTTTGCTATGCCTATAACATATATACCATTTTATCAAATTTTATTGGATAATGGCTATGACATCTTGACTAGGTTAATGCAGTCTGGTGAACTGTTTGATTAATCCTTCCACTATAATTGAACATATTAAAACTTAGTGTGGTTATTTGCAAATTCTGTGGCTGGCACTTCAAAAGTGAATAGAAACACTTTAAAATTCTAACAGTGACAACAGTCAAACTAGAACTTAAGTATTACTTTTTTTTGTTGTAAAAATATTTCATCTATACAACGTCTTAAAATATTAAATATTATTTGGCTTTGTAATATTGAATGAACAATTATTGCACATTTTGCTGAGCAATACAGAGTAATCATTTATGCCATTAAATCATGAGTGTGTTACTTACTTAATGTAGGAATGGATATCTAATTTTAAGGAAAATAAGGGCTTATTACAAGTTTGTTGATCAGCTTATGTAATAGTCAAATGATTTGGAGCAGAATTGCTACCTATTTCCTGCTTCAAAATCCAATTTGCTGATAGTTGAGCTTAGTTCAAGAGAACTCCGTACGAGTACAATTAGGTGCCTTTGGCTCCCCATTAATGGCAACCTCTGGTTAGAATTTTAATGTTTTAATTTTAATGTTTAAAGAACCAGGAAGGAGACTGGCACTTGAATAAGGCTGAAAAGCTGAAAGGATTGCCAGGTCCTCAGTCTAGTTTTGGCAATGATCTCCAGCGCAGCTTACTTTAGGACAGAAAAACGGAAACTGTCGTACTCTATTTTCACATCAATTCAATTTTACATTGAATGTTGTTATAAATAGGGCATTAGATCTTCTTTGTTGACCAGCAGTTCCCACACACTCTGCTTTGTTGTCAGGGTCAGCAGTCAAGCATTTTATGGTGCTTCACCTAGCAACTGGGTTGAGTTGATGGAAACTTGATTGAATGTGTTGGTAAGCAGGTAGCACTGACCTGTCCCAAAACTCAAACCTACAGTTTGAGCATTAACTTGATCGTAGAGCAGCACCCAAAAGAATATAACTCAACCGAATAATATGCCTATTACCTTGATATGTCCTGTAATTGGTTGCTTGTGGATTTAAAATGGCCCCATTTAAATAGGTTTTTGAACTGGATATGGAGGAGAACCTGCACTAACTTTACCTTCAGTGGTTTTAAAAAAAAAGGTAAATCTTTTAAGATGACTTCCATTCTCCATTGTAAAAGTGTTTTCTGTGATTACTTTGAAAACTCACATGGATCTCCTGCTCTGAAGGTGAAACTAGTGCCTGTCTCCTCCGAGGATCCAGATTTCACTGAATCCTTTAAGCAGTCAGCGACTTTGTATGCCAAGTATCAGATGGTTGTGCACCACGATTCACCTGATGAATGTAGTGAATCAGAGGTACCATTTTTTGCATTTATTACACTTTCTATTTTAATATCTCATTAACCTATTATCACACTAATATTTCAACAATAACATTGTTAAAGCAATAAGCACTTTGTTACTAACCAACCTCTTTTATATAACAGTACTAAAGCACATTCACACCGATTAAGTTTGCACATCATGCGTTGCGAATATAGTGCTTAGTCTCTTCCACTTGTTGCAAACACAATTTACACAATAAAATAGGTTTGGGATGAGATGTTTTCTAATCAATGACAGCAACTTTTTTTTATTTTGGAAATTAGTTTTTGTGCCCAGATTATGATGTTGGACTACTTGGCATAATGTAGCTCATTGATATTGTATAAATTGAAGAATTCTGCATTTATTTTTTCCCTTTTGGTTTGAGAATGTTCAGGGTAGCTTTTAAAATGCCACACATGTTTGAATACAAGTGAAAAATTGAAATACAGAAAAAAAGAAAATAGTAAAATAAAAGTAGGTCAGGGAGAGAATTGGGAAATATTCTAATGCACACGATTAACACTAAATTCTCAACAATAGGCATTTTTACAAGTTGTGTTTCCTTGGTAACTGGTTGCTTTCCGTTTCACTTATCATTTTCTGATGTGCTGGAATATTCAAATTGTGGGAATCTATATTTCTGCCATCCTGGCACAAATACAACCTGAATGTTTGTGCCTTAATGTTTCAATATTTTCTTGGTTGATAAATTCTGAAGATATATGGATAATAGAAATCTTTGTGGGGCAGAGTAGGATAAGTGTGAATAGCAATTTATCCATTCCTGATGCAGCTGCTGATTTGATTTGTCTCCTGTAATAAGTTAAGCTAAAACATAAAGTTCTGTACGTACCTAACCTTAGTAGTACCTTGGCTTCCGATGTCTGCTCGATCTTCAATAGCGAGAGACCAAATGAGCAACTGGGGAATATCTTAGGGAAGCAAAGTATAACAATTGAGCCAGGTTAATGTTTTGCACAGGTCTGTGGACATTTTAATGTATTCTTTTCCGTTTTGCCATTTGCTTATATTTTCACACTAACCTGGAAATTGTAGTCCAGTTAGCTTTACATTTGTAGTTGGAGAAATATTTGAAAATGCAAAATGGGATGATTTCTCATTGTAAGTGAATGGAGGCTGTAAGCAAAAGCTGACACAGATGCATAACTCACTAATGTACTAGAATTATTTAAGAATCTAATATTAAAAATGTGGATGAAAGGAATTCAGTGAACATTGTTTACTTGGACTATCAAAAGTCATTTGATAAAGCTTCATATGAGAGCCCTTGACACCTTATGAAATCAAAGCCTCAAAACTGGTTTGGCAATGAAAAGCAGAAAGTAATGACTATAATGCAGCCCATCATTCTTTTCGGTTTGCTTTTTGCTGCCTCACAGTATTTTGGATCAGTGAGCAAAGGAGTCAATTAACACCCCTAGGTCTCTTTCAACTTTTTCTTTATAAATTCAGTTCCCTCCATGGAATTTTTTTTTTAGCAGTTACTCTCTTTCTTGGCTTTTTATACAGGTTATTCCATTTTGGATTTGTTACTGAATTGCTTGCAGGATTATCCATATGGTCTCTATACACTAAATTCCCCAGGAGTGAAATCCATGGTCAGAGTAGATGTCAAATGATTTTGTAAAATTGATTCATCTTCTTCCAGGTTTTGTTTGTAAAGAGATGGAGTAGACATATTGCACATTTTCTGCGAAAGGAAGCACGGTTCTGATCCAAATGACCCATTGTTCCATCCTCTATGTGGGAATTTGGTAAATATTGTTTTGTGTAGTTGGCTTGGTGAAAGTGTAAGTAAAGTTCACTCACCTCATCTGTTCTCCACCCCCCCCCCCCCTTCCCCCCACCCCACCCCATACAAATAGATATTTGTTGTGTGTTTATTTAATGTGAAATTCCCCCCCACACACACTTTATTTAAATGGACGTGGGACAAAACAAATGTGAACTACAGAATCTAGGGATGCATCTTATTACCTAGACCTGAGATTATTGTGTTTTATTGGTCTGGAGGTTAGAGTTTAAGGTCAAAGGGGACATCTGTGAAAACACTGCCAAGCCAGGCAGTGAATTTTGACCCAAACCTTTTGTGTAACAGTATATAGGTATGTCTGGAGGTGATTTATATTAGGAGGCAAATGCCATTACTACAAAAGTGGCCAATATTAATTCAAGAAGATTGTGTCTGATAACTATTCAGTGCTGTCAGACTTCTTAATACAGTATTTAAATTAATATTTTTAATTCTTCCTTTACCTTCCTTTTCTGTTTTGCATTTCACTATTCCAACAACCAATGATCATTGTGTATTTCACTTACAAAACTGGAAGAAAATTTAAATAGTGCTCTGTTTCTACATTAGTCCAGTTACGTTTCTGAATATAAATGAAGAAACTGAAGTTGAATTCCTTTTATTGTGGCTGTGCCATCAAGCAAACAGTCATCAAACAGTATTGCAAACTGTTAAACCATGTTTAATTACAATGGCATTTAGCCAGCAAGCATTTATTTTCAGAAAAGACTTGAGAAGTTATACAAGAGGGGATTTAATTAGGCTTTGGTGAGGTCAGTACCGATTTCCAAACATATACAACAGTATAACCCTCTCTGGGGATTGTGGACTTTTTGTCTTTGCCAATCAAGACAACTGTTATTTAATTTTTAGGTGTTCTACTTTGCATGATGACAGATGATGTTGACCAGAAACAATAGGGTCTAATTTGTGGTATTTCTTAATGAGATTTCTTTAAAAATCTAAGTAGCACAAATGGAGTCTCCTTCTAACGAAAAGTGAGTCATACCGACTCATGAGAACTCCACTGGAACACAATATGTTTCCAGAGTTCTTCCTGTGGGCTGCCTGGGAATTTTAATGGCATCTAAGGAATACCATTAAGAAATTAATGGTATTAATTAATGATATTAGCTCAGATTATTCTCCTTGGAGCAGAGAAGGTTAAGAGGAGACTTAATAAAAGTTTGCAAAATTATGAGGCAATTCAATGGGGTGAACAAGGAGAAACTTTCCACTGGCGGATGGGTCTGTAACCCGAGGACACCGATTTAAAATAGCTGGTAAAAGAAATGGAGGGGAGGTGAGGAGAATTTTCTTTTACACAACAAGTTGTTCGGATCTGGAATGCATTGCCTGAAAGGGTAGTGGAAGCCGTTTCGATAACAACTTTCAAGAGAGAAGTAGATAATTATTTGGGAGGACAAGTTTGTAGGGCTATGGGGAGAGAGCGGGGGAGTGGGATTGATTTGGGTAGCTCTTTTCAAAGAGCCGGCACAGACATGATGGGCCGAATGGCCTCCTTCTGTGCTGTATAATTCTATGATTCTATGAAATTCTATAAAATGGTGGAGAGGAAGTTCCTTAAAAATAAAATTAAATGATTTTTATTTAAAGTGGCAAGCACCGACTTTAACACAAGAGTATTAGCACCTTAGTGATTATTGATGAATGTGGCATTTGCAAGACTGAACATGACTCAGTAATATTACAAACACATTAGAAATGTTTTACGAACCAATAGTATTTTGCTGAATTACATAATTTTGTAGAAAATGCAGAGTCTGGTGTGCAACTGTCAACTTTGATTAATTCTTATGCGATCTTGGACTGGGCCTGGTCCTGCTTCACTCTTCCCTTCCTCCCTCCTGTTGTCCGAATTGCCACATACCATTGTCTGCATTACATCTAACTTGAAAATCCATTAGCAATTGAGCAGAAACTGCTATATGTTACATACGTGGAGTCCTGTAGCTCAGTGGTTAGAGCATGCGTCTCGCAAGCGAGAGACCTGGGTGCGATTCCCAGCAGGGCGAAATGTTGGGCAAGTTTCCTCACTCTACCTGGCTTTATCCCTCAAAACTCTCCCCAATCTCTTTCTGCTCCCCTCCCCCACTTCTGCATGCTGATTCGTAAATAGTTTAAAAAGGCAGCAATAACTTCCAATGATTTCGACTTCAATTCTGAACTGTATCTGAATTCAGATTGATAAAGGTGACAACATTGCATGAACCTTTGTGATGTTGATTGACATGTGAACGCACTCAGTTGTTGGTAAATGAGATTAAGTTTGCAATCCCTTTCCATTCAAATAGTTGGAGGTCTGGAAAATTATTTCAGCTGCCAAATGTTAGTTCAGTCAAATGAATTCCCGGTAATGAACTGTAGTTCTGTAATGAGATTGAACTAATGGGCCAGCTGATTACCTACTTCTTGTCCAGATTTCTCAACCGGCATCTTGTGATGAGACATCCTGCTGATTTTTGATATTGTGAAATCGTGGATAATGAGGCTAAATTTACAGATCTGACAAACGAACCCTTGCTCAACAGCTAATATCTTTTTCTTTTGTTTTATCAAACATGTATTGGTGATGTAGTGATTAATTTCATTACTTTGATTTCAAAAAATAATTTGTTTCCATACCTAACTGAAGGGCAGTGGGTGGTGGTAAACAAATGGTTCATACTATGGTACCATAATATGAACCATTTGTTTACTACCACCCACTGCCCAAATGTTGTTCTTCAGAAATGAAGAACTGATGATTTTTTGCCATATTGTTGATATTTTTAGCAAAACTATTTGATGGAAAAAGAATAACATGCATTGGTCAGGTTCTCATAGCATCGTGATGATTGGCAGTCCGCTGTTTAATTTTTTCAGTAGATTAACAGATGTAATGGTGTTTGAGTTTAGTCAAGAATGGATTAGAAATTTTGTCTGCTTTTATATTCACATTGACAGCTCCATCAAATATAAACTTCTCCCACCACTTCCAATGTAAAGGTAGCTCTGCAACCTTCTGACCCGTGCCTGACTAAATATTGGCTTTGGCACTTCTTCATCCTGGAGGAAAATAGATAATTTGGTTATGAAGCTAAAATAGAAATTATTGTTAATGTAGTAATAAATAGTAGCATTGAAATGTGTATAGGTTTTGAAATGTGGTCAG